GCCCATACAAAACAAGCAATTAAGCGAGTGATGAGTGGATTCCATGCTCGGTTTCAGTTGCCGGGAGTACACGTACACTGTGCGCTTCTGGAATGAAAATCATTTACGCTCAGTGAGCTGTGAGCAGCCATCGGGAGGGAAAGCACAGGAACTCCGAGTCCCACGGTCATCATCCGGGGGGCAAATACGGACTGGTCGCCATCTCATCCTTCTTCTTCTGCTCCGTGACTGAGCCTTGAGGTCGTCCTTGTTCATACTCCGCAGCGGAGGCTTTCCTCTCCACATAGCATCCCCAATACCTCCACCGTCTTGACCACATCACATCAGAAGACTTCCTCTTAAGTTCTCCATATGCACGCCGTGCACCGTCTTGATCCCACGCCACACCTTTCGCACACGCCAGTTATTGCATCCTCCACCACTAATACGGTATGCAGCACTCGTCACGCTGAGTCACGGGGGAGATACTCATTCACCGCCACGCACGCACGTTCGTCGAAACAAAACGGACTGATCAGTCGTGAGTCCGGCAACAACCAACGTATGCCATACTAGTACAGCACTGCTGTTCAAGAGAACGGTTTCCGGAGCGGATTATGTAACAGACAGCTTCGTTTTCAGAAGTCAAGTCGGGGGTTGATCGACCCCCCCCCCCCCCCCCCCCCCCCCCCCCCCGAATCCCCGATACGTTGCGTGGGTGCGTGTATCCGCTTTGAATGCTGACCAGCAGGAAGACTACCTATGCCGTCGAGATCCGAGGAGCTCGATGCCACGACGGGCCCTACGGCCACCGATACCCTTGCGCCTGCCGATTCTATTGCGACCAGAGTGCGGTGGTGAAGGTTGGCGGTATGTAGTCAGTGTTCGACATAGTCCATTCCGTCCGTCCTGAGCCTCGGACTGGACAGGACTGCATCTTGGCAGTCTGTCTAGGAGCGGTGTTCGGACGGACTAGTCCAAAAAAATCGAGGGCAGGGCGGACTGCAGTCGACTATAGTCCGCACCCAGTTCACGAAATCCATGGACTGGACGGACTACTTGTACGCAGTCCGTCCAGTTCAGACTGCAGTCCGGACCGGACTATGTCGAACACTGGCTGCATTTCCCCGCACCTGAGGATGAGGATTCTTCGAGCCACGGAGCAAGGATGCGGATCGGGTAGTGGTAGATATAATACAACAACATCTCTAGTAGTTGCTAGGGATTTGTTACGGATTGTTTTGAAGACCGGTCACCAAAAGATAACTGCGCCCGGGTTTCAGAGGTGATGCTGCGCCCTTCCCAACAATACAGAACTGAAACAGCTTTTTGAATCTTGATGTTCTCGAGTCGTTGATTTCGATGCTGGGGTTGCGAACCTGTGCCTAAGTAGCAACATCGTCAGGTCCGTCTCTCCCGAGAAGCGTGCGAAATCTCTCCAGACTCCAGTGCACAGGTACGGCGGTAGAGTACCGCCGGTGGATCGCTTCATTGCCGCTCGAAGTTGCCATGGGAGTCGCCTGGTACCCCGCAATATATGATACAACATATCCAAACTCCGAACCTCTTCTATATCACGGCCCAGTCAACTTACCTTCATAGTTCACCCAAGAGTTAGCACCAAATACATTATGTCAGTGTTCGATATAGTCCGGTCCGGACTGGACGGACTGCGTAAAAGTATTCCGTCCAGTCCATGGATTTCGCGGATTGGGTGCGGACTGCAATCCGTCCTGCCCTTGATATTTTTTGGACTAGTCCGTCCAAACATCTCTCCCAGACGGACTGTCAAGATACAGTCCAGTCCGAGGCTCAGGACGGACGGACTGGACTATTATGTCGAACACTGAATGCAGCACCGATTGATGGCTTGTGCATGCGGAACTCGTTGTTGGTGGAATAGGAAATTGTTTCTGGGCTACCCATCCGTACTCTCCATAGCACCTAGAATATCCACGTGAGCATACCTCCAGAAGTACTATCGACAAGGGTGGCTGGTTGAGCTGTTGGAATAGTACCGTTTACCGATATTCCGCTAGAGAGGTGGTATGCCTGTGGAATTGGCCTGCCTGTCGAACCCGCTCAGACTTTAGGAGAGGAGTTTATGGATGATTGGTTAGCGTCTGAGCGGGTTCGACAGGTAGGCCAATTCCACAGGCATACCACCTCTCTAATCAGGCAACTTGACGGTGTGCGTAAGGGCAGCTACCCAGTGGAAAGCTTCTGTAAGTGCCCACAACATGTGGCGCCGCGCCGCCGTCAGCCACTGGTGCGTGAGTGTTGGTAGACTTCCTGTAGAGTAATGGTACCCGTATTGTGCCTCTGGTTTCAGAGCCGGATCCCTGGTAGCGAGTATACGAGAAAACATTCCGGTCTGACCACAGAGAAGGTGGCGAAGAAGAAGAAGAAGAAAAAGAAGAAGAAAAAGAAGAAGAAAAAGAAGAAGAAGAAGAAGCGTCTCTTGAGTCTTGAGTACGACTGGTAGGGTTGCCAAGATCGTATCTGCATGGACGGGAGGTTCGGTGTCCCCGTAAGAAGGGCGGGAATCTTCAAGAAAGAGCAAAGTAGAGTACTCTACTAGAGTACCTACCCTGTTGTGTAGCCTGAAAGTCTCATGTAGCGAACAAATCACAGCCTTCAAATCCTGTGTGACGGTTCCGAAGGCTGCGTTTATACATGAACTGGCAGCTACACGAACCCGAACGAGGAACCAGAGGCGCCTACATAATAACTAACAGACAGTCTAAGTAGACTTTGGTCCCCGTGCGCCTCATATTCTGGTCCTTGGCCATGGCGATCATTCCAGGCCTGGAAATGGGGGCTGGGATTCGTGTCGACAGTGAAAATATATGTTGAGAGGAGACCCGTCTCCTACCGTACACCGCAGTGTCGCCCCGGCTCATCCCCTAGTAAACGGCAGTCCCTTATTGATGCGTTTGTCCGTTCCATTCAGCAACATTTCGGACTGTACTTGATACGAGCGATACTGGATGTCGAACAGCCCCGCCACCGTGGTGTTCTCGCTCGTAGCACTTTGCCAGATGTCGAAAATACCCGCGGGAATTTCTGCGGTCACATCTAGATTTGGCCCACGGGTATTCGTTCCATTTGCGGTCCTTCCCGGCGGCCACGACTGTCCCGGGCACGGCATCGAAAACGCGCCACACAGCCGCGTGAAGCCGTACTCATCCCTCTCGGGAATGCCGACACCGAACGGGCCATCGTCGCGCACATACTCGAAGGGGCGGACCCTCGAGTGCTTCCCCGCAATCTGCTCTGAGAGGCCGAGAGGCGTGACTACTCCGGCAATAGCCAGGAAAACTAGCCCGAGTGCACTGAATATCCGCAGCGCGGTCACCCGTCCGTTCACGTTGTGGAAGTTGGTCGAGTCCGCGGACAGGATCGTCGGCCAGAACGTGGCGTGCACGAAGCGGCAGACGACGGACCTAAGGAGCTTAGAGGTTGATCGACATCGGGCTGCCGCCGGATGCAAGCACGTACCATGTTGCGGCCGTGTTGCCTTTGTTGAGCACTCCGGCTAGGACAAATACCAGCAGCAGTGGAAACGTGATTTGAGCTTCGGATTCGGTCGGGTCAGTCCTGGGTACATAGTCGTCGGGGATGGTGAGATGGAGCGAGTACAGACCGATGAGGATTGCAAAGTTGATGGCACCGGACACTTGACCAACCGTGATGTCGGTCATCTTGCTGCAGAGAGGCTCCTTCCGCATGTTCGATTCGCTGGCTTTGAATAACAGATACGGTATCATCGAGGGCCTAGTTGTTGACACCATAAATGGCGGCATCGCATTCCGTAATCATACCATCCCCACAGGACTCTCGCAGGGCGGCACATGGAAGGAAGACCTGCTTTGGGTCACGCCGGACACCGAGTGCGTCAACATGAACTTAACGCTCGAGTTCGTGATGCGAGGAGAGCTCGGCGGGCCGGGGCACTACGTCACCCTGCGGGATAACGGGGGGTTCAAGAACTTGGTCAAGGACTATCAATACATCGATCTTAACGATACGCAGGCTCGACCGACACTTGCGGGCCGCGCCTGGAAGGCCGCTTCGTTCAATAACCTGCTGTTGATGAGGTACTTGAACTTGACACGTACCGGAGTGATACCCGAGACCTTCAATATGACCGGTGAGCTGGGAAAGGCCCGGTTGGATCCGTATCAGCTTCGCATGCACGATACCGGCCTTAATCCTCTGCCAGGACTGCCATTCAACGATGAGCTCGACACCGGTAAGCCTAGGTTCTACATACTACCGTGTATCCTTGTATGTGCTTTGATGCTGATGAGCGTATGGGGATAGATGCCATTGCGGAAGGATATGGAGGTGCAGACATCGCCAGCATCAACCGTATCGCAGCGAAAGTGGGTCTCTTGATGGGCATGGCCAGCCCTCTCGGCAACAACATTGCGGCTTCGATACGGCGAGAATCCAACACGAACTGGAAGCAACCGCTCTACGTCTGCGCCTCCGCACTGAAGGCTTCGGTGCAAGAGGTGACCTTCGCCGTCAACGGCAGTTCCATCTCCGACATCCAAGTCATGGACGTTTCCAAAACAGCCCGAGTGAGACTCTGGGCAGTGGAAGACAGCGGGTATGCCATCGCCAACATAGACCCAATGTGGGGACTAGTCTCGGACGAGTGGGAGGACGCACCGGGCTGTCAATTCTCCGCAGCGACCGACTGTACCTCCCAGCCGGCGCGGGAGGAACCTTCTCCAGCGGCATCTCATACCAGCCGGATGCGATGGCCGGCACCCACGGGCTGCTCACCGTTCTGAGCGAAACATACACAAAAGTTCTGACCGTCGGCGCGCTTTCCGCGCCCGAATACCTGCCGGACTACACCGACTTCGTCAGCTACCCGATGTACACACGGTGGCAGAACCTGTCGAAGAGCACCGAGTCCGCCACACTAATCTTCAACCTCCTCTGGACGGACATCGCCGCGAGCCTGGTGACGGGCAGCAAGCCTCATCTCGCATCATCATCAACAGCATCCGCTGACCCCTCGCGGCCTGTCCTCGTCTTCGAGCGTCGCATCAAATACGACCTCCGCTACGCGATCCCGGCGATGCTCTTCGCGGCGCTATGGCTGGTCCTCGGGATCGCGTTCCTGCTCGTCCTGCTGTTCGCTGGCACCAGAGTTGCGCATATCACGCAGCTGCTCAATCACACCGCCACCGGAAGGGTCGTCACGAACATCGTCGCTCCGGATATGGCCCCGCCTGGGGCGCCGACAAAGGAGTGGGCGAAATCCGCCGGCGTGATGAGTTTTAGGCTGGAGAGTGAGAAGGTTGCCGTCGAGAGGGTGGAGGGGTGCCTGCCGGCGAAAGGGAGTTAGGTTGCGTACTTATACTTGGTTGGAAGGGGCGGATTTAATAAGATGAGATGTGGTGCGGCATCCAACGGTAACCAGTGGCCGTGGCCGTGGGAGGCAGGACGGATACGGTATAAATCGCTTATGTAGCGCAAGATATTCAGAGTAAATAAATGATCCCAAAGCTTTAAATGTGGTCACTCCCGCCGCAAATGTTCATATGTACTCACTCACTACTCAGTCAATGAAGGCAGGTGGCAATGGGTGGTTTCTGTCACCATGGATTTATATTTGTTGAAGTATTTGGGTAGAGAGATGGTGATATTCTATTCGGTACAGAAAGAAGTAGATACTGGTATTGCAATATCTCCATCTGATTCTGGGATGGTGGATGGCTGAGAACCTATGTAGTTCGAAAGTCTGGGGAAATCGGACCACCCTCTCGGAACCGAATGCATAACTTCGGTACTCTATATAGAGTAGCCTCGCAGTTTTCCAACCAATCAGACCCCACAGGCCGATCGTTAACCGAACCCACACCCATACAGGGCTCAGATACGTAGCGTCATTGATGATTGCAGGCGAAGATGCCAATGCTAAAAACAACCTCATTGCAGCACCGGGCCCAAGTTAACAATATTAAGGAACTGCATATTGTCGACTGAGCCACAACTTCACAGATTAATCTGCGGACAACCACCAGTACATCGTTGTCAGAAAATAAGAGCGGCGTGCTGTTGAACATCTGGGATTTCGGACGGGTCATCGGGGGAGATGAGCGTTTGCTTCCGGCTGCGGCTTTGGTAACCTTCAACTGGTCAGAAACCCCAGGTTGAAACTGAAAATGTAGCTGGTACCTGAGCAGTGTGGGACGCAGCTGGAACTGGCGTCTTGGTAGCACTTTTCGACCCTTGGCTGCGGACCTTGGGCGGATTTTTCGCCAAGACGTTGGGACTGGCTGTCGTACCTGGGGCTGCAGGGGGGACCTGTTTCTGTTTTGCTCGTCGATTCTGTTTTGTTTTGGTTGCTCGTGTTCTTCTTGACGGTTGTACGACGATGCGGCGGCGGCCAAAGTTGGCCGATCTGTTATATTTATGTCGGCGGGTTTGTCTGTCTCTCCCTCATCCTCCATCATCACTATTCTTCACCTATCGATAGTTCATCACTTGATTTCTTTGCTGCTTGCTTTCTTCAAGTCGGCCGACGGCCGCTCCGGCTCCTGCTCCCTCACTGCCAACCCAACCACAACAATAATCCGACATCATCAATGATCCCAATAATACCTCCCGATTACCCACCCTCATACATCACATTAATCCCTGCCAACAACCCGAATCCTTTGGTTCGGTTACTCACCATCTTCCGAGCCCTCCGTACCCTGATATTGAGCGGAGGATAATAACCGCCTACTACGCCCGCCACGCACGGGCCAAATGCATCCAATGTCGGTTGGTTCCGGATACCGAACGTTTTCCTTTTCCGAAAGTGGCACGAAATATGCCTGGCGAAGCAATTATTGAGTTTGCTCTACCGCGGTTGGTGAGTTCTTCCTTCGGTGCCTACCTATCCCACCGTCCTCATGCTAATTGCAATAGCTTCTACCACCTAGCATCGCACCGCAACCTCCCCCGCTACCGGTACTCCCGGTCTTCGCCGTACACTGTGTGTCCTGTGTCGTTCCGTTTCACAATGCTATTCGCAACGGAGGTTGGCTTCAGTGGATTGCAAAGGGCTTTGGCCCTTCCTATGATACCTGGGAATGGGCTTCGGCCCTGCCCACGGCAAAGGGTTTTGCGCTGCCGACAATCCCCGGTCAGACTACGAAGGCCGGCGGAGCACCGATGCCAATCGCAACGAGGTCCATCTGTCGGCTGTGCTTCACGCATACCTGTCTCACAATCCTCTTAATTAGGTGCAGAAATACCCCATATGTATGTAGAACCTGTTGTTGTTCTACGTTCAAACGGCTGATAATTGTTTCGGGGATAATAAGATCCTTTGCTTCGCGCCCGATTGGGTGGGCATCGCTGCTTCCACTCCCACCTGACTGCCTCTCTGTCTGGTACAGAAAACAAACCTCACAAAGCAAAGAAGTTATACTGGACGGTGAGGATGGCTACTCTATATCCCTGGGGCTTCTCGCCACAGGCCAGGTCTGGATGGATGCGGGAAATCAGGGGGGGCCGCCGAATCATGTATCGAATATGTCGTACACTAGGCCGGTCTTTTACATCGCGAGCGCCGCCTACTCCGCAGGGCTTACTGAAGGAGAGCTCTGCCACTATCTTAGCAGTGCGTCAATTCGCACCCTAGGACCACCACCCATCCCGCCTCGCACGAGCTCACTTCCACCTGTTACTGGCCGGATGTACAACATGGGAAACTGGAGCTCCGTCTCCCTGATTTCATCGTTGTCTTCTGGACCCAGCATGATGAATTTGGTTAGCATCTCATAAATCCGGCATGCACACCAACAATCCTGCAAGAAGAATTGAGTTTTGGCTTTTTAGTCGCTTGCATGTGGAGTGATTGTTTTTCTTATTTTTCTTTAGCACATCGAATCTGAATAGGAGGATGGTCTTGTTCATCTCCCATTGTGCCTGAAGATATTTTTGTCTAGTGTGAGAGATTCATTGTAATAAAAAGGCGTGGATACTTGGGAGAATCGAGAGTAACTCAATATCATGGTCCGGCGACAATAATACCAGTAGTAGATACTGCGCCATATCCCTTTGAATGTTTCCACTGAGTCGAGGTACGGCACGGAGGGGGTGGAGAGACAGGTGGGTGGAGGCAACTTCATAGTGTGTACGTTCTGATGTCGGGCTGACGTCAAGTGGTATGGTGAGGTAACTGTGCGGCCGACTAAGAGATCCCTCGCCACTGCCGTACCACCTATGCCCGTACCACAGGCCAGCCTCCTTCAGCCGGCTGATGTTACCGGTTTCTAGGCTTTGTTGAAAATAAACCAAGCCGAGTGATTTATGGTGAAGATCGGTGATGAATTGCCGAGATTTCTCCGGCAAGATGTTACACGAGGTCACGTGTGACCAATCATCGTCCCATTGGTTTTCCCCACCATCTTCTCCGCCAGCGCTCCTCGCACACGACCATCACCATCCTCGACCATGCCGCCAACTCTCCATCTTCGGCTACCGCCACCGCCCCTGAAGTGCCTCTTCAACTTGCGTAGCCAACGCCATGCCGTGCGGCACTCCTCGACTGCTGCGTCCACGCCCCCACCGTCGCGACGGCGGCCGAAAACTGCCATGTTCTTTCCAGGTAGAGTACCCATCCCACGCACGCACGCACGCGCGCGCTCCTCTGTGTGCCAGGGCTCCCTTTGCTTACACATGTCATGGCGCAACCACAGGCCAGGGCACGCAGAAAGTCGGGATGCTGACGCCACTGCTGTCGGCGTTTCCGCGCACGGTAAAGCCGCTGTTCGAGCTCCTGGACGACACGCTGCCGCCGGCGGACGGGCAAGCGCCGCTATCGCGGATCATTGCCGAGGGGCCCAACGAGGTCATCACCGCGACGGAAAACGCGCAGCCCGCGATCCTGTTCACGTCGATCGTGATCCTGCGGATCCTTGAGCAGGAGTTCAACCTCTCGCCGCGCGCGCAGACAGACTTCTTTCTCGGACACTCGCTGGGTGAGTTCACGTCGCTGGTGGCTGCGGGCGTGTTGAAGCTCGAGGAGGTGCTGCGGCTTGTAAGGCGGCGCGGAGAGGTCATGCGGGACTGCGCGATCCGCGCGTCGATACCGGAGATGGAGGGCGGGCCAGGCGAAACGGGAATGGTCGCGCTGCTGGTCGAGCAGAAGTACCTTCCCGGGTTAATTGCGAGCGTTGATAGCTTCATGCACTCGGAGACGCTGCCGAATGATGAGTTCCTGAGCATTGCGAATATCAACTCGTCCACGCAGATCGTCCTCAGCGGCCACTTGAAGGCGATCAATATGTGCATCTGCCACATTCGGAAGTTTTCTGGACATGACCCGCGCGCGCTGCGTCTTAATGTCTCGGCCCCGTTCCATTCGATGGTTATGGCGCCTGCTGTCCCGGTCGTCGCGAGGATGCTGCAGGAGATGGAGGTCGTCTTCCCCCCGCCGGATGGGGCGGAGGTGATCGCTAATGTTACTGCAAAACCTTACGAGTCCGCCGAGCAGTTGAGGCAGCAGCTGGCGATGCAGTGCACAGCGACCGTCAAGTGGGCGGAGAGCATCAAGTATCTCGATCTCGAGCGGGACGTGGCGCGGTGGATCGGGATTGGGCCGGGTAAGGTGGGGCGGAACTTGGTGGGTCGCGAGGTTCGGGGCGGCATGAAAAGAGTCGTTGGCGTCGAAGGTAATGACGCCAAGAACCTTGAGGATGCCGTGAAGGCGCTTGAGAGGATGGATGTCGATTAGTGCGATCCATGTTCTCTATGATGGGCGTTTCGATCGACCGGTGGACTTCTGCAAACTTGCATTGCGTTTCTTTAGATGTTTGGCGTCTTGGTGGAGCATATATTGAGTGATTTTCCTTTTTTTTCTTTTGGCTATGATAGTGACGGTTGGCACTTTCCTTCTCCTTCTTACTTGGCTCGAGTGGATAACCCTTTTACTTTTGCTTGTATTTTTACTTTCTCCCACTGTTTTAGGTATATATACCAGCTCATCACGAAATCTAGCTGATGAACACATATGCTTGACGCACACAACCCTCTCCCATCTCTCCCACTCTATCTATCTGAGCATGACCATCCCTCCATTGGCACACACAACCTGGCCGGTACAGTACTGCGCATCGGCACTACAAAGCATGCCGACAATCCCCGCCACCTCCTCGGGCGTTCCCCAGCGCCCTCCAGTCCCCGCGTACAGGTCCACCCGGTCCTTGTAAACGCCCGCCTTCTCGGCCGCGCTCAGCTGTGCCAGCGGCGTCAGCTGCAGCAGCGGCCGCATCTGGTCGTGGAACTCGGGAGATGTCGTCCCGTACCTGCCCATTGTTCATCAGCCGCCTATCCTTCAAGGGGGGGAGGGGGGCAACTCACATCCTAGTATCGACCGGCCCGGGATTGATAGCATTAACGGTGGCCCTCTCGGCGAGCTCCCTCGCCCACGTCCTCGTCATAGCCTCCAGGGCGGCCTTGGTACCACCATAGACGCTCTGCGCCATGAGTCCCATACTCGCGCTGATGCTGCTAACATTCACAATCCTGCCTGAGCGGTCCTTCGGCAGGGAGTTCACGGCCGCCTGCACCAGCAGCAGCGGACCACGGACATTGACGTCGTACTGCCGCGTGAACTCGTCGGCCGTTACCGCACCAAGGTAGTGGTTCCCTGACGTGCCAGAGTTGTTGATGATTATGTCGATTTGACGGCCGCCGGCGGCAGCGATCACGGATGAGGGACCGCTGACGCTCCCAAGGTCCGCACAGATGATGGAGACGGACACGGATGGGTATTGGCGTGCCAGGCTGCTGTGTACTTCTTTTATTGCCGCGAGAGAGGTGGGAGAGCTGTGGTTTAGCAGCAGCGAACACCCCTTGCTGGCCAGGTTGTGGGCTACTGCCGCGCCGATTCCTGCGCGGGGGTTAGCAGAGGCGGGGAAGGGAGACGGCGGGATACATACCACGCGAGGCACCGGTGACGATGGCGAATTTTCCGTCGAGGGAGAGGGCGGCGGCGGTGGACATGTTGGTTTCGTTGTTGCTTTTGATCTGGCAATTGGAATGGCTTCTTCGGTAGGTACGGCGGTTTGCAGGGCGAGCGGGCAATGGGGGGTTCAAATACCCCGTTCGACAGAGATTATTCCTGCCATTGCTACATACGCTCCAGCACGCACCAGCAATGGATCAATGCTCATCATCGTCGTCGCCGCCCATCTCCCCGCTGTGAATAGGCTGAAAGAACCCCCACTATTTAGCGTGCCCCGCATTAATCTACCGTAGATATGCAGATACGAGCGATCCCTAACCCACCTCGATATTGCAAGAAACGCGTGGGCTTATCAACCTTCCGGTGCATGCTCGTCCGCCCTTGCAGCGCGAGGAGCCATGCGTTCCGTGGCTATATAAAGCAAATATGTATGATAGATAGGTAGCTGGAGATGGACAATAAAATCGATGCTTGCATTTCAATTGACACTACAACCCTGACACTACAACTTCGACTTGAAGCCCTCCCACGTCAACTGAGCCGCCTTGAGCGACAACTCTGACGGCGGGCGACCACTGCCGAAATCAAACAGTGGGCCATCATGGAGTTCTATCGGGCCGACATACAGCTCCGCCCTGACACCGGATCCCGCACGGAACGACTTCTCCCACTCGAGGACGTCGTCGAGGAACACCTCCCTGCCGCCGACCGTAGTTCCCACGAACTTCACAGCCCGGTCCATTCCCTGCCACCAGCTCTCGGGCGCCCGCTTCGGCTCGGCGTGGTACCGGCCCGCGGCGAGCTCGGCCGCCGGTGCTTCAAGACCGATCGCCTCTTCGCCCCAGTACCGGAGGAGGTGCGGCGTAACGTAGTCTTCGCGCCCGAATTTGGCGAATGCCGGCGCCGATTGGTCGAAGGTTACCCAGGGGGAGACTAGGATTGCCGCTGCGAGGGGCGATGAGAGCGGCAGGACTGGCGGAACGGAGGGGTGTGGGTGCATGATGTGAGACAGAATCGAGAGAGTCAAGTGGCCCCCGGCGGAGTCTCCGCCCATGGCGATCTGCAAGACTTGTTAACGGAGAATCAAATCGCCAAGAGAGTGGGAGCGTACGTTGGACGGTGAGCAGCCGGCTGCTAGCAGGTGGTTCAGAGCCAGCACACCCTGGTGCAGTGGTACGGGGAACTGCTTCTCGGGGCCCAGAGCTGTCGTTCATCAGCAACCCACGATACTTGCTTAGCGCTAGGACTCGGGAGGGAGGGTGCAAACAGTATTCCAGTATTGCAACCGAGCACTCCTGCCCATACTTCTCGATCTCCTCCCTAATAACCCTTGCGAACGAGCAATGTCCGGAGTTGAGAGGCAAAATGAACCCGCCGCCATGGCAGTACAACAGCACCTTCTTATTTGCCGAATCGGTCTTCTTCCACGGCTTTCCGATCCACAGCAGCCGTGTCTCGACCCCGTCAACGCATATGTCCTCCACGGCTGGCTCGTAGCTGCTGCCCAGCTGCGGCTTCAGCTTGAACCATGCCATGTACGTGTCGACCGAGGGAGCCATCTTCGCCTGCGCCTGTCGCGTGTTGGTGCGGCCGAACATGGAACGGATCACTGCCGCGTTGACTTGGACTGGCTTCGGAGGCAGGGTAGACGGGGAGTAGATGCTGGCCGTTATGGACTTTTGGATAGTTGCCCGGACTTGCTGCTGTCAGTGATGGGCATCCGGGAAGGGTCTGGATGGGGGGAGCATACTGGCATCCGCAACTGCCAACGTCCAGCCGAGCTTCTCGGCGATCGTGAGGGAAACCGGCGTGTGGGACTTGAACGACGACATGGTGAGCTGTAAAGAATGCAATGGATGGAGTTGCAATGCTCAGGGGAAGTGAGGATCGAAAGGGAGCGAGGTACTCGGTAACCTCTTAAGTAGCATCACACTCACTGCTCCATCCTTAAGCTCGGTTAAGTTCCGATCCATAAGATGTGTCCCGCCCGCCAAGGCTCAGTGGTTATAGTTCCTCGCCTATCGAGCCATATCATAGAAAATCCGGGGGACGGGGTTGGAACTATGTCCGCAATCGGCGTTGCTTCCCCATTAAAGCATCGCGGTCGCCCGGGTAGGCGCGAATCATGCAGCCATCCGCTCAATCCGTCTGGGCAGCTAGCTAAAGGGTGTCACGGGCTACCTAGGTGGTTACTCTGTTTCCCGAAAGAGTGGTGCATCTACATACAAGATGCAGGTATATAGAGTGTTGTATTATGGCCGGGGCAGGAACGGAACATTCGTGGATGGATGCATAACGCGGGGTGCATGAGAGATGCTTGCTTAGTCACGCCTCCAACGTTTCGGCTTTGTCCTCGACTCCTCGCCCTAGTTACATATGCCCTTCCTACTCTCTGTAGTCGGTCCAGTGATGAGTTATAACTACGGCACCGTGTGCTGAGAAGTAATCCGGCGCGCCATTCGGACGTCCAGTGTTGGGCCGTTGAAGCTCTAATGAGGAGGTGTCGTGAGGCTAGGACATGGTACTTTTGGCGTGGCCGCCAGCGGTGGTCTCAATGGTTACACCAGTCTAGGTACTCTACACTTCACTCACCGCATGCAAGAGGGCCCCCACGCACTCCAATTTCACAGCAAGAGCTCCGCCTGTCCGTCGTATACCTATCATAAGAATACTTCATACAACATCAGGCCGGAGGAAAGGAAGGATGGCATTGCAGAGGATCCACAGACTGACTGGCCAGATTGGTCTGGTCCCCGGCCAACTACAGACGTGCCGTGGCAGTGTGCGTCCGGGCGGTGACCATCTACGACGCGGAGTTGGGGCGGAAAGGCACAGGAGTGCGGGGAACACACGGCAGGGCAGGGCAGACGACATGAAGAGGCTGGTGAACACGAGGAGGCGAGGGCGATAACGGGTTGCGGGATGCTGTCGATCCACTAATATAGCGGCCTCGCCATGGAGTCGGGCCTCAGGCCAGCACATGCTCAGCTCGACAACAGAACTAAGCGACGGCCCCATGGGGATCAGACTTAGGAGCCTCTCGGAGGGCGACCGGGCCAAGCTTATCTAGCGGAGGCACGTAACGGTCCGGCGCAAAATCGACAGCGCACCGACATTGGCGACTGAGTCCGAGAAGGTGGGCCTGACCAGACAAGCGGCCACTTCGACGATGAAGTTCATCTCCGAGGACCGGGAGTCAACGAAGCACGCGACAAATGACCCAACAGAACATACCTACTCTCACTGGGCAATGACCAAGAACCACCCGTCGGCGAAATGCTGGTGGTGTCGGCACAAGACACGAATGCGGGAGCACTTGCTTAAGAGCTATCTGCAGTGGAGACCTTAGCAGAAGGTCCTATGGGCGGAGGTACAAAAGATTACCGGACGAGGGGAGGACAGGTTGAGATCAGAGACCTCTTCGCGGACCGGGAGTGCAGCGCGGCCATCCTCTGGTTCCCCGACAAGATGGAAGTAGGGCGGTGAGTCCCTCCTCTTGGGCTGGAAGATAAACCAGTATCTTGAGATAAACTTTTGACATAGTGACTGCGTCGATGGAACCAGAATGTCCAGTCTCGGGATCAGAGAGGCTAGATGCGAGAAGGGCAGCGGAGGGGAGAGTATCGGATGAGAAGAAAGAAGGAGAGAATAAAGCCCCCGTTGTTTCTCGCACCATCAAACACGACGGTGGATTGGGAGGCCATGAAGGTAAGGGCGGAGGCGATACGACAGGGCGGGCAGGAGCAAGAGCAGGAGGTGGCGGCAGACTTAGTGGAAAACAGAGAGGAGGCGTTGGATTTCTCGATGGCATTGATGGGGGGGGATAGGATCGGGACCGGATTCTGACGACTTCCCACTGTCTCCTCTTTGCCCTTATTTTCTTTGTTTTCTCGCTGATGTGGCGAGCGAGAGCGTGGATATCGAGCTCGCGGCGCCGTGAGTGAAGCTGGGATAGAAGATATCTGGATGGCTCTGTGGGTCTTGCGGTAGAGTGAAGCTGAAGGCCCAGTGACACACTGGGACCTCAGAGTTCTGCGGTCTGACAGCTTCAGTAGCGGTATGAGACAGACCTCAGACCTGTGCGCTACTCTGCTCTGCTTGTATCCGTGCGGATTTCCCACTACAGCGATTCCAGGCTATGGTGACGGTAACGTATGGCCACAAGTATCCTTCGAATCAAATACCTGTTCGGACCCTGCTCTCGCTACGACACAGCCGAGCCCTTCGACAAGGTTCAGAGCGAAGTATGACGGATCGCCACCGCGCTTGTCGGCCCTTCTTCTCCTACACTTGATCTATGTACGAGTACTGTGCGAATAAACATCTACGCCATTTTAGCTGCCGTGAGGATGAAGGACCGACACGACTGCGCCTATGTACAAGCTTCGGATCATGTCTCAGACAAACATAGAGTCGAGGGAAGCTTAATCCAAGCGACTTCTGAGATATCCTATGTATCATACTAGTACTGGCGCTCCACCATACCTACTCTATTTTGGACCTTGGTTTGTCGCCACAATTCATTTGCAGGAGCCATACTGGAGTCTTAGACAAATTGTCAGTACGCCTCCGCTGTCGCAGTGCAAGATACGTGCCCATCTCGTTCGTATGTAATTCCTGGAAAGTTGGCCTCAGGCGTTTCGGGCAGGCAAAGTGCTGCTCTGGAGATCGATTGGTGCTTTGCCTGCTTTGCCTCCCCTGCCGCGTGTCGACGGTCGGCAGCCAATGAACCCGGGCACCGAGTGACAGCAGCAGCATAAATGACGTAACCGCCCAACATAGCAACTCCCATCATCTCGCGATATTAATTGTGTGTCACCACTCGTGGCCCATGACGCTGGGTTAGGGGAGGGAGGGGGAGCAGCCCCGTATTCCGGAAGGTTCAAGGAACGAACGAAAGCTCGGCCACTGATGACGGTGCCGATGCTGTGGCTGCCATCATGCGCAGGGATGAGACCGCGGCAAATCACCATGATCGATCGTTCATGGCCTGTAAACCAGTTTCGCCAGCAGCCTGGCGGGCGCGAAGAGCAGGAGAGGGTTTCGACGGCCAACAAGCGGGTTTCGAGACCAATATTGAGGGCGTATAAAATCACCCTCCAGTCCTTCATCCATTTGATCTTTTCTTCTTCTCATCAGCATCAGCATCGATACCAAACATCCAAAGATCAGATACCATCCTCACAAACATCAACGACCATCTTCCCCAACACACAAACACACAAACACAAACACACAAATACACAACCCACAACCATGCGCCACTCCACCCGCACCACTCCCGTCGTCCGCACCCGCAAGCCGAGCCTCCTCTCGCGGCTCACGCGGCCCCGTCCGGCGACCGCGACACGGGCGCCCCGCGCCCGCCGCACCTACGGCCGCAAGCCTCGCACTGTCCTCAACGCACCGGCCACCACCACCGTCACGCACCACCACCGCCGCAAGCCCTCCATGGGCGACCGCATCTCGGGCGCGCTGTTGAAGCTCAAGGGCACGCTCACTGGGCGTCCCGGTCAGAAGGCCGCCGGCACTAGACGCATGAGGGGCACTGATGGAAGGGGGGCGCATTCGCATGTCGGCTCGACTACCACTACGACTACTACTAGGCGCAGAAGATGGTAGATGGTAGATGTCGCGGAGGGATACATAGGGGATGATCTGTACTTTTACCTGTACTATTAGTTTCTTTTGTTTTTTTTTGGTGCTTTGTGGATAGCGACCGGTGGTTTTTTGATTTGACGACTTATAACTTTTTTTCTTTTTTTTTTCCTGCGATATTTTGGTTGAGAAGGAATTATACTTTATTACTGTCACTCTTTTCGGCCTATCGTGACGAACATTCGGAGTGATATTTTGTAATTAAAGCGAGTGATATCCTATGTACCCATGTACATTCGCTAAACAGCCTGTTTCACTTGACTGCATCATTTCCTTGGCGGCAGCTAGATGCCTGTCACCATGGCCACGCGTAATGATCCTTGCATCTAGAGCTCCTTCATCTAATACATGTATCTCGCCGCGCCACCCGTAGGAGTGAAACCATAGTTAGAGCTCTTGACAGTGTATACCAGCAGCGGATTCCAACATTTTTTGCCGGCGTTGCCAGATGAGCCATGAACATGATTCTACGAAATGGGCGTCCCAGCCACCTAGCGATAACGACCTTTGCCGCCGCCGTATTTATTGTTTGCCTCCTAACGGTCCACGTGTTCCGCTCCGGCGGGCCCAGGAAGGTCATTTCCGGCGTCGTCTACACGCATGGAAACCAGATGGCACATGGCATTTGGCCGCCGCCGCCGGACCGCCGCTGGGAACGCGATACGAAGGAGTACATTCTGGACGACGCTTGGGATGGCGAGGCGCCAGTGCAGTCGAGGTATTATAATTGGTCGCTGACAGAGGTCGAGGGGAATCCTGATGGTCTGTTTACTCCCTCCCTCGGATCCAGGGCTGGGCGGGGCTGACGGAAAGCAGGAGTATACCGCACGCTCATCGCGATAAACGCACAGTTCCCCGGGCCGCTGGTGGAAGTGAACGAGGGCGACACACTGATCGTCGATGTGCACAACCATCTCACCAACAGCACATCGCTGCACTGGCACGGCTTCCCGCAGAACGGGACGAATTTCATGGACGGCACCGTGGGCGTCACCAACTGCGCCATCCCGCCTGGCGAGAGCTTCCGCTACGAGTTTAAGGCCGACGGGCTGAGCGGGACGTACTGGTATCATGCACACTTCTCCACCATGCGGACGGATGGATTGTTTGGGCCGCTGGTTGTGCATGAGAGAGGGGGCGGGAAACGTGCGGAGGGAACAGATAGAGTCGTCATGGTGCAGGATTGGTATCATGACCTTTCCGCCGCGCTGCTGCCGTGGTATCTTGCGCCCGGAAATGAAAACGCCGAGCCGGTCCCGAACGGTGCGCTCATCAATGGCCGGGGCAGGGTCAACTGCTCGATGGTCGCCAAGCAGTATCGCTGCGATCCGTCGGGAGTGGGACTGGAGGTGTTCAACCTCGACCAAGATTCACCGCACAAACTGCGCTTCATAAACGTCGGCGCATTCGCCGAGTTCGATATCGACGTGGACGAGCATTCCGTCTCGCTAGTCGAGGTAGACGGTGTATCCGTGGTTCCCCACAGCATAAACCGTCTACGCATCAACGTAGCGCAGCGGTACTCCGTCGTAATCCCGTCGCAGCCGCGCAACAGAACGTCCTTCTGGCTGCGGGCCCGGATGCTCGCGCACTGTTTCGCCGAGATCCCCAAGGAGCTCGAGCTGGAAGTCAAAGCCATCGTCAACTACGGCACCTCTTCCCCCTCGCACCCAGAATCGAAAGGATGGGCGGACGTATCCCCACTGGAATGTCAAGAAATGAACCTGACCTCCGTCGTCCCACTGCACGTCCTCCCTGCGGCGCCGGCGAAGGCAGACCTCCTCGTCCCCCTGCGTAGCAACTTCGAGATCGGCGCGTACCAGCTCAGCCGCGGGATGTTTAATGGCACTTCGTGGAGACCCGAGAAGATGCCGACGCTGATGCAGGCCATTGCCGGATTGACGGGCGGCAACACGTCGTTCACAGAGCCGAGGAATACTGTCCTCGATAAGGCCTACGACGTCGCGCACCAGCTGGTCGTCAAGATCGACAGAGGCGCAGTGGTCGATCTGCTCATCGACAACTACGACGACGGAAATCGTTTGCCCTCCCCCTCCCCCATCCTAATTCCTCCCCCCGACTCTTCCCCCGCTGATAGAGAGAATAAGATCCATTCCACCTCCACGGCCACAAATTCTGGGTACTCAGCGGCGGCACCGGCTACTACAACATGAGTAACTACGGGAGCATCGACGGCACGAACGCACTGCGCCGCGACACGGTAACGATCGAAGCGTTCGGCTGGGTGCTGGTCCGGTTCGTGGCGGATAATCCGGGGTTGTGGGCGTTGCATTGTAAGTTTCCTTCCCCGCGGGGTGTGACTGAAGACGGAGCATTGATTGATTGGGGGGTGTCTAGGTCATCTGGCGTGGCATGCGGAGGCGGGGATGTTGATGCAGTTTTTGGTGGGCGCGGAGACGGTGAAAGAGTGGGAGGTGCCGACGCAGGTGGCGGAGATGTGTAAGCTCTCCGAGAAGCAGAGGGGCGGGCCGATGAGGGATGAGGACTTTTATTGGTAGATGTGCGGATACGGCAGTGGACACGCGCAAAGAAGATATTGAGTAATTTATAGGCATGCTTTACGATCGAGATCGCGAAAGAAAAAAAATAGTGGACCAAGTGACCACCCATGCTTCTCTCTTGCGGCGGGTTGATAGATGTTTTTATTAAATACATATTCGACTGTGATGGTCATATCGGAAGGAGTTATACCGTTTTACGATGGCATTTTCCCAAAAGAATTAGTTCACGACAGTGTCCGGTTCGAATCCCGAGGAGCTCATGTTAGCTGGTGCACGTAAGTCACCCGGCTATGGGGCCTAAGCACCAGAAAGACACTTCAGGTCGGCAACGACGCAGAGAGTTCTGGCCTCGGGGTGGCGGCGCTGGATCGCACGGTCGTGGGCTTTGGGAAGGTGACGTGGTTAGGTGCCGCGACTTCTATTTTCTTTTGGTTTTTTTTTTGGTTTTGTTTCTTTTGAAGTTTTTTTAATTTCCTGGAGGAAGAACTCGTTTCTGCAACAAAAACCAAAAAACCTCAACCTGGGCACTGCTCGATGTCCTCCCCCAACCAACCGGCCGGCTCATCAAGCAGTATTCTCAAATCAACATCCGATGCTGCGTGGGCCCGCAGGCTGCGTATATAGGACCGCCATTAAAAACATTACCACCACTGCGTTGCCACCGCATCAACACCAAACCAACTAATATCACCAACCCATATCGCCAACCAAAACCAACCATCGCCCAGAAAAAGAATGAAAAAGAAAGGTCAAATACACGTACACCTCCAAAACACAGAACACATAACCAAAAGCTCTAGATCCATCACCAAGCCTCACAGCCGCAACCGACCCACGGATCCCTCACAGCCGCAACCGACCCACGGATCCTACAAAGTCGAATCCGTAGCAGTCGTCGGGTACGAGTCCGCACGGGTCTCCCACGTAGCACCGGGCGCGGGGCTCCCCAGCTCGACGACAGGGCTCTGCTGCGACCTCCGGTAGGCCTTATCGTCCGCAAGGACGCCGGGGGGGAACGCGCGGGGGTCGGGCGAGTAAGCGCGATATCCTATCGGCTCCGCGTACAGCGGGGAAATGGGCTGCGACTGCGGCGACATGGGGGGCGCGTAGGCGAGGGTCGGCGGCGGCTGCTTCTCGTAGATGATTGAGTGGTGCGGGGGCGCGGGTGGTGCTGCCGCTGTGGCGTCGGAGTGGTGTCGGCGCCCGAGGTAGAAGAAGAGGCCGCAGATCAGCGCGATCACGCCGACGGCGCCGATGGTGATTCCTGCTATGCTGCCGGTGCTGAGACCGCTGCTGCTGCTGGATGCGGTCGGAGAGGCGACCGCAGTCACGGTCGTTTGTCCCCCCAGCGTGCCGGTGCTGCCCGGGAGCCCTGTGCTGCCTGTCGGCACGGAGGTCGGCGCTGGCGGAACTACGCTGTTGTCGGATTCTGAGGGCCAGTCTTCGCCTGGCTGAAGGACGAATGTGCCAGGTTTCTTGGCCGCCGCTTGGTACCCTGCTATCGGAGTGTCGGATCGGGGATTGATCACGCCGGCCATTCCCCACTGAGTACTGATGTTAGCTGAGGCCCGGGAACGGCGGAGGAGTGGTACCGACCACATTACAGGAATCTGGAGAATGTTAGCAACGCTGCGAACAGCTCCGAACTGGGGACGAGTACTAACCTGGTGCCGAGCAGTAGAAGAACATCGGATTTGTGTCATTGACCAAGATGCTGAATGTCGGAGGCTACGACGTTACATCGGTCAATACGGGATATCTCATCACCGCAGACTTCAGGACGGGGGTGGACAAACATTGCGTTCGATCGTCCTTACTGGCCTGAAGCCCGAGAAGAATCCCGTGACCTGTGGTTCGAGCTTCTCGTAAGGTACACATGGCTGCACCCACGAGCCGCGGACCACGGAATGGTTCGTAGGATAGAACTCAAAGACTATACACACACGAGACGATCAGCAACTGTTCCCTCAACCTTCTAAATCCACCAACAGCCCGGCCGGGGACAACAAACTGATAGTATCTCCAATCGCGGCCGTCAACTGGTCCGGATCGAACCTATGTGCGGCCTTTTTTTTTTTTTTCGCACTCGCGCATCAGCCATCCATCCAGCCATCCAGCCAGTTTCGGGCTCCCCGCCTCCCCCCCTCCTCCTCCACGATGGTGATTCACCTTTCCAACCGTAACGACATGATCCGCTGCGGCGACGGCCATCACGGCCACGGCCAGCATCAGCAGAATCGCATTTTTCGTCCTCGAGCTCGTCGTCGTCGTTGTGGTCGTCATCGTCATCTTCATGGTGGTTTGTTGATGCAGGATGAGTGTATTCGTCGAGTGGAACAAAGAAAGATTGGAATTAAATGGCAGGAATCGAGGGGGGCGGGCGGGTGAGGGGGGGAAAGAAGGACAATGGGTAGGTAGATAGGTCAATGGCCAGGCCACGAAGGGCCAGGCAGTCCATCCACCAAAAACCTGCTAACTACCTTCATAACGCCCCTCTCTACCCACCACCTTTCATACATACTAGACGGAAGGACGGAAATCGATTTGGACTCGTGTGGTCGCTGGATCCGTGTGGTCGGTGTGGTCGATGGAGGCGGGGGCGAGTGTAACCAAAAAAAGGCTGCATATCTAACACCCCATACCTACTAGTTCCTCTACATAGCCACCTCTTGAGCCTTCGTTTCGCCCGATCTGCGATTCTGTGTATGATAGGTCCCAGAAGCGGCTTTTCCACCTTGCTTCGGGTATGTAGAGTAGGCATGCAGTGGTGTCAGTGAGCACTGAGCCCAAGATGCCGGCCATTCGTGAATCGTGCTCGTGGTAGGCTGGTGCAACCGAAGAGCCATCCCATCCCTTCGGCTTCGGGTGGCATTGCGGCTTGCTCGTATGTAGATATTGTATAAGTGGGGATTTCTCAGTCCTGCCAGCCAGCAAAGAGAAGAGTCAACGAACTTTTGCGGCGGGCCTACTCTCCTCTACCGTACATACTCTAGACGAACAGATCTGATGTGCGTGCGTGCGTCGTGCGTGACACAAGAAGGGCTAGGCAGTGGGCTGGGCTGGGCTGCAGTCTACAGTCTGCAGTCTGACCTGGCGGTGGTGGCACAATTTCGTTTTCGGTTGCGGCCTGGAGTCTGTGGAAGAGAAAGAGGGGTGGGAGTCTGGGAGAGGGGGCTGGAGAAGCTGAAACCTGGGATGTGGGTGGGTGGGTGGGTGAATGGGTGGGTGAATGGGTGGCCAATGCACTCTGACTCTGGCCGATTTGCACTGCAGAGGAAAGCCCATTGTGACATCCCCATCGATGCAGCCGCCGTGTTCACCCGTCTAGACTCTACTCTGCTCCACTTCGGAGGCCAGGTTTCTGGTTTCTGGTTTCTGGGCCATGTGCATTTCGAATTCGGTGGGGGAAACAGGTAATTATCAGCATGCTTCTTATGTAGAAGAAGAAGACTTCCAGAACATTTGCCACCGGGATACGGTACGGTATCGTACTTTACCTACCTAGAGTATCTATCAACTCGGGCCCAGTGACCAGTCACGGCCTCACATTCACGGCTGCGAAGATGTTGAAACAAACATGCTGAAGTGGCACAGACTTGAAATAAACATGCTGAAGTGGCACAGACTTGAAATAACCATGCTGAAGTGGCACAGACTACTAGTACAGTGGCAGTGGTGATCGGTTGGTGGCATTGTGGCATAGGGAAGTTCTTTGACTTCTGTCTCAGATGCAACAAGGAATAACTAACCCCAAGAATCTGAAATCGGATGCTTAGAGCTTAGAGTTGATTAGCGTGAGTGCTCCCTATCATAAGGAGTACGAGTAGTGAAGCTTCGCTCAGAGACGAGGCGCGTGGTTCTCGCCGTCGGACAGGACGACGAGCATACTCTACATGCCTACGGTACTCTATTCATATTTCCCCCCGTATGTAGCAGGGTAGAAGAGGTGAGTGAGTGGTAAACGTACCGTATTCGTCCCATCGTATTTAGAGTACAACCTTGAACACGCAAGTCCACTCGCGAACTCTATTCTCACTCCTCACGAGTCACTGCTCAGCACCCATGTCTCTCGTCTACTCGTCCCGTATGTGTGCACTGCGCACCTACCTACCGCAACTCGTATATGGTTTATGGCTAGAGTACCATCTCGTACCGAGTCTTGGGGAGCTTAAGCCTTAGCGAAGCTGATCCCTCCACTTAAAGTCCACGACCCCAAGAGTCCAAGTTACCAAGTAGGTATTTCATACCGGTGTGAATGCCACGATCTCATGCAAGGGCGCGGGTATAGCTTCGCGGAGGGTGATGCGAGGAGGGGATAATATACTCTACCGGTATGAGGAGAGGCGAGGAGGGGCGGAGGTATGAGGTATGAGGTATGAACGCGCAAACACCTGCGTTTCTTGTTTCCTGCTTTTGCCGGAGGGGTTTGGTTTCGGCCCTCGGGCCCGTAGATATCGAGGGAGTTGTCGGTTATCTACCGTGGAGACATACGGCGGTGAGGGAGGCAGCATTCATCACTGACCAGTGACCAGCCTCAAGATTGAAGACATTCCCAAGAATAGGTACCGTATTTAGAGTATCTACAAGCTTGGCCCTCCAGACTCCAGAATCCAGAGTCCAGAGTCCAGAATCCAGAGTCCAGACTCCAAGTCCAAGTCTTCACCACCGCTCAATGAAGTGCCCATGCCAAGCATAGTTACTAGATACCTCGTTAGAGTAGCCAACCAGCGGCACAGCCTGCTGACCAGGGTAGATAGGTGCGTCGCCAGGTGATCTTTACGGGAGTCCCCCCAGCGTTCATCTCCACATCGCTGAGAATGAATTTTGCGTGATCTTGGTGAGCTCGAGTCGTAGACTCGGAGCCGAAATGCAATTTCTTCTTCTTCTGCTTCTTCTCCTTCTTTCGAAATATCGAAGCAAGGTGGAATAGGTACCGTAGATTGCTGGAAAGCATGGGAAGATAGGTACCTGGCCACGGTGTGTGGAGCAGAAATGTTGTCAGAGCTTTCCCTTCATTCCGGTGAAGCATCAGTAGTCACTCTTTCCTTCCACATCAACTCGTAATGCGGTTTAGTTATCTGCTCCAAGTCCCCACACCAGATCACAAAAGTTTTGGTCCAGACTCTACGCATGATGTGACAATAACTCTGTCGGGACGGGGTTACACGAAACACATGCTAGTCAAGGCTGAAGATAGCGCTACTAAAGTTATCATACATTACGTCAAGGTATCGTCTACATACGTTCAAAACTCAGGAGTATCATAAGTCCCCTCCACATCCTCTCCGTTCGCCATGATGTACTCCCTCGTTTCATCGATCTTCTTCTGTAGCTGCTTCAGCAGATCATCCTTCCGGCCGGACTCTACGCCCGCCTTTTCGACCGCGTGCATGGCGACGTGGTAGCGGCTGACACCGTTGACGAGCAACATATCGAACGGCGTCGTTGTCGATCCTTGGGGCATTCATCAGCAAATCCATTATCCGTCATCTCAGGAGACGAGCCGGGGACAAACCTTCCTCCCTATACCCAGCCACCACCATCCTCTCGGCCACCCTGTGCCGTCCAAACACCAATCCGGCAACATCGTTGACATAGCCGTGATAGTTCACGACGATTCCCTTATCACTCGTGAAGAGCTCATCGAACCCCTCGTCGGACAGCGCATGCGGATGGCTTCCGGTCGGCCCGAGCACCATCAGATCGGTAACGTTGACGACGCGCACTCGGATCTCCGGCGCCAGCTTCCGCAGCAGCGCGGCTGCGGCGACAACTTCGAACGTCACTTCCGTTCCGATGCCGACCAGGACCACGTCGGGTGATTCTACCGAGGCAAACTTCCACGCCGATGCGCCGGCGCGGCAGTGGGCGTCCGCCGCTTCGGGCGAGAGCCAGACGGGCGTCGGCTGTTTACTCCCGACCATGAGATTGGTGTAGTTCTTGCTGTTGAGGCAGTGGCGCATGGTGGAGAGGAAGCAATTCGCGTCCGGCGGGAGGTATACGCGGGCCATTTCCGGCTTGAGGTTCAGCACCGCGCCAATAAACGACGGGTTCTGGTGCGAGAACCCATTGTGCTCCTGCCGCGTCCACGTCGAGGTCTCGAGGTAGTTTATGCTCGCGTTCTGGTTGCGCCATGGCACTTCTTTGGCTAGCTTGACGAATTTGGAGTATTGTACCATCATCGTGTGCACTATGCCCAGGAAGCTCTCGTAGCTGGGGAAGAGCGCGGTGCGCCCCGTCAGCGTGTAGCCTTGGAGCAGCCCCTGGCACGTGTGTTCGCTCAGAATCTCGATCACCCGCCCGCCTTTGGCGCGGGAAAATTCGTCCCACTGGAAGTTTCGGCCCGTGTGGGAGAGCACAGCGGAGAGTTTGTTGCTTTCCAGCTCGTCGGGGGAGAAGATGCGGATTCCCTTCGGGTTGGAGGTGAAGACTTTATCGAGGTACTCGCCCACCACTTTCATGGACGACGCCTGGCTGCCTTTTTCGACACCGAAGGAACGCCAGTCCGGTGCGCCGATAGGGTTGTACCCGTTGTAAGTGTCTTTCAGTTGGCCGATCGGTTGAGTGGGGATGAGATCCAGGATTTCCTGGACGGGGGCACCAGAGTCGTCGAACAACGTAGCGGGATCGTACGACCGCAGCCATCTCTGCACCACTTGCCGTCCTTCGTTGTCCTTCTTCGCGTCCGGGATCGGGACCTGATGGCTGTGGAAGCTGCCCTCAATAAACTCCCCCTTGTACGTCTTTGGCCCCGTCCACCCCTTCGGCGTCCGCAAGATCAATACTGGCCACCTCGGTTTCACGATCGGGGTTCCCTCCCTGGCCGTCTTCTGGATCTTCCTGATCTCCGCCACTGCCCAGTCCATACTGGCCGCCATGTCGGCATCAACTTCGTCCAACACCTCACCTACAAACCTAACCTGATATCCATAGCCGGTAAACAACGCAACGAGCTCCAGATCATCCATACACCCATAAATCGTCCTCTCGCTGATCTTGAACCCATTGACATGCACAATCGGAATCACCCCGCCACTTTCCTTGGGATCGAGATACTTGGCCGCATGCCACGCAGTCGCTGTCGGGCCCGTCTCCGCCTCTCCATCGCCCACAACGACAGTAACCAGCAAATCGGGCTTATCCATCACCGCACCGAAGGCGACGGCAAGCGCATACCCCAGCTCTCCGCCCTCATGGATACTCCCCGGCACAAGCGCATTGATATGACTCGGGAAGCCCCCTGGCGTGGAAAACCCCGTGATCAACGCCTCGAGCCCCTTCCTATCCCTCGAATATTGAGGATAGAAGTGCGCTAGAGACCCCTCCAGCCACAGCGAGGACAATATCCCGGGAGCGCCGTGGCCGGGACCAACGACGTAGATCATGTCGCAGCCCGTGTTCTTTACCACCCGGTTGATGTGCGCATATACCAGTGTCAGCCCGGGACAGGTTCCCCAGTGTCCGAGCAGCCGCGGCTTGATGTCGTCGGATGTCAGGTCAGAGGTGACCAGGACGTTGCGGCGGAGAAAAATCATCGCTGCGGCGATGTAGTTTGCTGCGCGGCGGAAGCTGCGCAGCGAGTGCGCTTCGGAGGGGGTCAGGGCATTTTCGAGGGGGAGCTTGACTGAGAGGCCGGCCAGTGAGGAAGGGAGGGAGGAGGCGAGCGGCGCCGGGTCGGCGTGGTCGATTACTTCACCGGGCATGTTTATTTTTCGCGGCCGTGGGTGGTATGTATTGGTGAGTTGGGTTTCAGTTCGCAGTCGGAATGGAGGGAGTTGTACGTTTTATTCACGGGTTTGAGGTATGGAGAATCGTAGGTACTCCGGAAGATTTGGCCTGGCGTTTGATATGACGTTGTTTCTCTATCTTTCGTGATCGACATCTTGATCGTCGTTTCATGTATTTGGCGCCGGCTTCCCGGAACCCCGGTCACGACACGGGACAGCACTCCATGCCGTATGTCAATCTGACGTCACTTGACGGCTACTCCAAGAATAGTTTCATAGTTGACGGAATATTTACACGCCTATCATTTAAGATACCAGGTAGAAATGATAGCTTTAATTGTTCTCGGTCGCTGGATATTCACAGTAAGGTGCTCTTGACGAAAAATCAATACGATAATCCAGCATGGCCGACGACGCAAAGCCCCACAGTAAAAAATCCCGCCTCATCCTTTCCATCAATGCCGGGAGCAGCAGCGTAAAGCTCTCGCTATACTCAGCGACGTTCGGCAGTGAGCCGGCTCCGCTGGTATCCTCTTCCATATCGGGGCTTACATCTCCACCGGCGGTGTTCTCCTATACCCACGTCTCGTCACCAGATTCGCCCTCGAACATCAAGAAGCAAGAGCTGAAGGATATCACCTCGCAAGATGCAGCGCTGCAGCACTTCCTCGAGCACATGGCGGCCGACGGGGCGCTGAAGGAGCTCGAGAGCGGGAGCGATATCGACCTCGTGTGCCATCGCATCGTCCACGGCGGGGATTTCGACAAAGCCATGGTGCTGAGCAAAGAGACGATCCGGGAGATTGAAGATCTGACCGAGCTTGCGCCTCTGTAATCACTCCCTCCCTCTCGCACTCCTCATGTGGCCCGTAACTGACGATGTTTTTTTGTTTGCAGCCACAACGCCCCCGCCCTCGCCCTCGTCCACATCGCCATCTCACAACTCCCGCATGCAAAGAACATCGCCTACTTCGACACGACCTTCCACTCGACGCTCTCGCCGGCAGTGCGCAGCTACATGGTCGCGCCCAAGAACCCAAAGGTGCGCAAATACGGTTTCCACGGGATCAGCTACTCCTTCATCCTGCACTCGGTAGCCGAGTACCTCGACCAGCCCATCGAGGAGACGTCACTGATCGCCCTCCACCTCGGCTCTGGCGTGAGTGCGTGCGCGATCAAGAACGGCGCTAGCATCGACACCTCGATGGGGCTGACACCGGCGGAGGGCCTGCCCGGCGCGACACGCAGCGGGACCGTAGATCCAACGCTGGTCTTCCACACGACGTCGTCGGCGTCGTCGCTATCGCGCGCGAGCACGAGGGATATGCATATCACCAAGGCGGAAGACGTGCTGAACAATCACTCGGGGTGGGCCTCGCTCGCGGGCACGACGGATTTTTCAGAGATAGTTGCTGGGTGGGAGAAGGGCGGTGAGAAGGAGACGTTGGCGTTCGAGATCGTCGTGGATAGGATAGTGGGATATGTTGGTAGCTACTGGACGAAGCTGGGAGGCGAGTGTAATGCCCTGGTCTTCTCTGGGGGGATAGGTGAGAAGAGCTGGCAGCTGCGTAGGGAGGTCGCCGCGAGGTGCGCTTGTCTCGGGTTCAGGATCGAGGAGAGGAGGAATAAGAGTGCGGAGGACAGGGAGGGGACGGTTGTGGGCATTGGAGGGGAGAGAATGGCGGATGAGGGCGGGAAGGTTCTGGTCTGTAGGACGGATGAGGAGGGGTGGATGGCCATGGAGTGTGCGATGGATGAGAGGTTTTGGTAGATGTCCTGTGTATACGTCTGGGAGACTTTAAGACCTCGATCCCGCTCATACAGAGAAATCCCGGAGATCGAATCAAAGAGCTTTCCGTACACAAACCCAGTGTCTCCGTAAAGGGCCCTATTCTTCCATTCGGAGACAAAACCACTTTTGTAGGTTGACTCCTTTCATTTCCATGTGAACACTCCGCCAAGTACCAGTAGGGCGGACGGAAGGCCTCTTTGATGCCGGAGATCTCTTACGGATACACATGTTGGGTTAGACGATGCTCTCCGCTCCAATTTATTGTGCTATGATAAGTCGTAACCACCTCCATTTCGCCGTACGTTTTTTTTGTTGGACTGGACTGACCGATGGTGCCAAGCCAGTTGCTCTCCACACAAAATTCACTCTATCTCACTCATCCCGCTGCGTTGGGACTGGTAGTTCGTGAAATTGTAATGAAGGTAGTGACGATTTAAGGCTTCCTCCTTGGACATATCAAGTAACTTTGCCACTCTCAAGGTGGAGGGGAGTACCTTCCAGCTTATTTTGATATCTGGGGCCTCATAATTGGTGGCGGTTTTCTGGTTCCACTGCGGTGCAGTAGTGCCGTTGTTCGGAAGAGGACGCTGATTCATGGATTCCCACTCGAACAGCCAACTCCAAACAGTCTTCGGAAGAATTGGTCAGAGTACCGGGTACGAGTCAGGCCTGCTTAGCGAGATATGTAGTCGCAATAACCGGTGCCGTTGAACTAAACTACCTACCGCATAGGTACATCATGTCCCGATTCGGCAATCTCGAATGCCCGAGTGACATCGTGTGGACGGCTAGGGACAGTTGAATCGTCACCGTTATTCTCGTGATACTTTCAACTTGTGTCTTCCTCGACTGGTTCTTCCAAAGCACGTTCAGGCTAGTCGTACTCGTCGACCGCACACAAACCCAATCAAATCGCGACGCCGATGCAACTGCATCACGGCCGCCAATTCACCGGGACGACCTTTCCTTCCTTCCTTACCTTCACCACCATCACAAACGACGATTCACCACCGCCTGCGACGACTCAGCACCACCACCGACTAAGACGATTCATCAACGACGATTCAGCGACAATCCTCCTCTAACCGCAAAAATGGAAGCTTCTAACCGCCTCATCCGTTCCACGAGCGACAAGATGCAGTCGATGCGCGTAAGTTGAACTTCCACTTCTACTTCCACTTCACTTCACTTCACATCTCTTCACATCGCATCGCATCACATCGGATCGCATCACAGTCATGTACACACCTGCGGAAGATCACCTTGCTGAAACTTCCCTCCAGCGCCGCATCTCGGATAAATTCTCCAAGTCGCCAGCTGGTAAAGACGACAACATCGTCAAATCGAACTCAGAGTTCCACCCGGCTCCGGCCCAGATGCTCGTCGGAGTGAATCAGGATCGCATGCAGAAGACCCTCGACGCCTGGCTGATCTCGCCATCGGAGCACGGCTCCCTCTCCCCCACCACCACCCGGTCCTCCACCTCCACCGTAGCTACCACGTTCAACCGCTGCAGTAGCGATCAGACCTCGTCCACCACCGGCACTACATTCCACCGTCGCCGCAGCGACCAGACATCGTCGGCCACCAGCACGCCCAACAACCGCCGCAGCAATCAGACCACGTCGACCACCGCCACCACCAACAACAGCAACAGCAAGAACCGCCACAGCAACAGCAAGACCACCGCATCCGCGTGCAGCAGCGACCTCAGCAGCAGCAGCAGTTCCTACTCGGTGTTCCCGAAGCCAGTCACGCTGGTGCCCGCCCCCAAGAGCATCCCCTACCAGCAGCTGTTGCACCAGTGCCGCGTGCTCCGGCACGAATGGCTCACGAGCCTTTCCAGCCTAGTGATGATCGCCGAGATGGGGGCGACGGGCCTAGAGATCCTGATGGCGCGCGCCATCTCCAGCGGCGGCACCATCACGTACGAGCTCAACGGGCTGGTGCACAGCTTTCGCGTGGTGCACACGGCGGTGCCGCGGCCGACGACGCAGCACACAAGGGTCGAGCTCCCCGCGCCGCTCACCGCCGCAGGAGCGTACTCGCTCGCGGAGTGCTGTGCCGCGTGGGCCGGCGTCGTCGCCGCGCTCGACGATGGCTTCGAGAAGTGGCTCGCTGTGTCCCCCGAGGCGGCCGTCGACGGCGCCAAGGGCTGTCTTAGCAGGCTGATGGCTATCCGCTCGGCGGTGGTGAGGACGGCTCCCAGGACTGAGGAGGGACCGGGAAGGAGGGGCGCGGAACACGACGCGGAGATCCTGCTGCAGAAGGGTGTTGTTGCGGATCTCAAGGCGAAGGTCGAGTCGGCCGGAGCCGAGTTCTTACGCAACATCCGGAGCGGCGAACTTCCGGGGGACCCGCAGGTGTTCACGACGTGATGGTGTGTCGGGATGTTTCCCCGGGCGGTATATAGCCAATTTTTTTTCCCACGTATCATTACCCTATATGGGAAATGTTTTTTTCTTTTTGTTTTCAATTTACAGTGCTGCACTAGGAGAAAAATAGAAAGGTACACATGTTCTTTACGTGCCACAATGCAAAGGTTTAGTTTGTTTCACAGATTTTCATTCGATCCCCCATCGCTGAGCGCTAATAGTACAGGAAAGCATCGCTGAGCCCGCGCTTACTTGGCTCCCATCTGCTCCAGCTTCTGCTCAGCACGGCCCTTGGCCTCGTCGCTGACGTTGGGGTTCTTGAGAGTAGCCTTGTAGCCACCTATACATCTCCACTGTCAGTGATCGATTCCTTTTACGAGTGGAGTAAAAACAGAGAGGGTGCATACCAATGACGTTGCCCGTGTTCTTGGAGCCGTCGTCGCCGCTGCCGCCGGCGGAAGACTTAGTCTCGCTACCGAGCTCGTCGAGGACCTGGCGGGAGTGCTCCTTGGCCTCCTCTGAGGTGTTGGGGTTCTTGAGGTTAGCCTTGTGGCCACCTGTGGATATGCACGAGCAGTCGTTAGCAAGAGATCTTCAGCTTCAAAGGAAGCGGGAAGGAGAGGGAGAGGGAGGCGAGCCGATGACGTTGCCGGTGGAGCGCTGGTTAATGGAGTCGGAGGTATCCATCTTGTTTGATTCTTGTTGTATTGGGTTGTATTGGAAAGGGAGCAGGTGGATTTGCGTTGTATATAGATGTGGTGAGTGAGATCGAGTGGTTGATGGAGGTTGGAAAGAAAGGACGAAAAGCTCCACCTTATATTGATTCGCGAATGCCTCTCTCCTGCAAGATCATCGTCCGTGACGTCGCAATCACCTCAGCGGCTTGCGGGGGAACAATCGCGATGCATCATCACCATCAGCATCAGCATTACCATCGCCAATGAGCACGTACGGTATCTACGGTGACGATGGCAACGAGGGAGAGCGGAAGTGATGCCCCGAGCTGAGACAGCGATTGCCCGCAAAAAAAAAAAGTGCACACGCCACGATTAAATCCGGAGAGTCATGATGTATTCTCTTCGCTGCTTCTGGTGTCGTGGTTTGTATGTAGTGTAGCGTGAGCACGTTGCTTGCTTGCGCGCATGTGACGTCAAGACTATTGCGCCGGAGCCAATGAGCGGCGATAGCCTTAGTTAGCCTTCCCGTTGCTCTGCGTGGCGGGATGTAGATCCCCCGCACGGCGCACGCATCTCCCTTATGTAACTACTAGTTAGTACCAGCACAGAGTCCAACGCCGCAAGGCGGGAAACTGTACATAGATCACGTATGCGTGCGGACAAAGCGCCGGGGTGCTTTCTTTAGCCCCGATCATGGCATCGCCGACCACTGCAGCGGGATCTTCAATATTTCAGAGAAGGAATCACCGGCTTAGAAGGTGAGATACTGATCTCTGGGCTGTTTCCGGTCTGGGCGTTTGCTCACAGGGCTCTGCGCCGGACAATAGTCCGGACCACCACCAGCTGGCCTGCGCAGCCGAGTTTGAAGCGGCTCGGAATGCCAGCGGCGCTGGAAACTGCCTCCATACAGCCCCGGTATGGTGGTGGTGCGGCGGTGCCAAGCAACGCTGAGCCAGCCGAAGCACCGGCGAAATCGCGCCAGGCCTGTGCTCTGATGTACCCAGCTATGCCTCGGCACCGTGCGTACCGATCCCCCGTGGAAGGAGCAGCGGGCCGATTCAATGTGGCCGGAAGCTAGCAAGGCAATCGCATCACGATATCACCAGCTTAGGTACATGATAGTGTCCTTGCGTGCCCCACTTACGGAAGATCGGAGAGAGGGCCATTGAGCCGTCGGACATGGTGGATCGGGAGAGGGGGAGTGGGGCAAGTGTAATCTTCTCGTGCAACGACTCCAGAGCAGGTTACAATATAGGATTTACTGTATAAAACTTGTCATGATACGAACGGTCGGATGAAATAGGTTGAAAATTACGGGCCTCAATCCCAAGTATTACAGAGTCTGCTAATTACAATAAAGAAAAAAATACATTTCCACCCCTTTCCGTCTTTCTCGCGTACGTTTTATAATCGTACACTCCTAGGAGACCTCCTGGTGCTCTTAGAAGTCCTCACTCTCCAACCTCTCCTTAGCACGCTCCTTCGTCTCTGGCTTTACATTGGGATTGCTGATTGTGGCCTGGGGAACTCCATTAGCCAGTTATCTCACTCGCAACCGAAAGCTAGGATTATGCTCACCTTGAGCCCGCCCTCAACGTTCCTAGGGTTGGGTTCGCCCCCGTGCGAAGCGGCAGCGGAAAATTTCTCGGTATCGCCGCCTTCGAACTCGCGGTCGAGAACCTCCTTCGAGTGTTTCTTCGACTCTTTCGAAGTATTGGGATTGTTCAGGTTCGCCTTGTGGCCGCCGATGACATTCCCGGGGTTCGGCATTGCGGCGAGCGGAGCGGTCGAGAAGCTGCGGATGGCGTTGGTTGCGGCGGGGATGAGAGATTGGACGAGGCGGGACATTGTTTTGTTTGTCGGTTTTCTGAGTGCGAGGATTCAGTCGATGAAGGGCCGATGCTGAGAGGGATCCGAAGCGGGATATTTATGCTGCCAAACAATCAGTGAGGTAATCGTGATTGCAGGCCGTAGTTATGCGGCCATGACGAAGATCACGTGCATCGGTTGATGTAAGAATGATGAAAGTTGGGTTCCACCGGCGAACGGCAAAACGCTGCTGCCTCCATGTAGTCTGTTCTGCGAAAGGTCGGGTAGAGACAAGAGTGTAGAGTGCCGATTGTATGACACGTGCTTCGATGAACATATGTACGTACAATTCCAGTAAATACATGAGCGCGAGAAACAGCGATGAACGCTAACTAAATGTGAGAAACCCCCCATACTCCAAGCCATCTTCTCCGAATCATCCAATACAGCATCAACACGCTGAGCCAGCTCACAGTGTTAATCCGATACGCACACGAGCTAGTGTTTCGTTTGCGATTAGCCATGGATTGGAGCTCGAGAGGCTGAGTAGGGACTTACTCTAATTTACAGTTCTTAGCGGCATGCGTACCACTTGGATGAACAGGCACTGACCGAGCGGCCAGTGTGAAATCTGTCATTCACCGCCACCGCAACATTGTACCATGAAAGACCGGCCGTCCTTTGAGTCTTCATGAATATCTCCTCTTCGCGCGACCACCGGGCACCACTCGAAGTGCTGGGAGGACAGCCTCTGCTGGAGAAATATGGTGTCGGATATTCGAACTCCAATTGGCGTCGATTCCGCCTTTTCTCTTCCCTCTCCTCTTTCTTCCTCTCCTCTCTCCTCCTCTCCTCTTCCCTCTCCTCTTTCTTCCTCTCCTCTCTCCTCCTCTCCTCCTCCCTCTCCTCTTCCTCCCTCTTCTCTCTCCTCCTCTCCTCTCTCCTCCTCTCCTCCCTCTTCCTATCCTCTATCTGCCTCTCCCATTCAGCCTCGGCCTTCATCCACTCCTTCTTGATCCGCTTTCTTTGTGCCTTCCTGGCCGCTTTATCTTTGTCTGAGTTTTCATCTTCGCTCTCGTCTGAGGATGAGTCTGCGTTTTCATCTTCGCTCTCGTCTGAGGATGAGTCTGCGTTTTCATCTTCGCTCTCGTCTGAGGATGAGTCTGCGTTTTCATCTTCGCTCTCGTCTGGGGATGAGTCTGCGTTTTCATCTTCACTCTCGTCTGAGGATGAGTCTGAGTCCTCCTTCTTGGGTCTTTCCTCCTCTGTTCTTCTGAGCTTTTCGGCCTCCTGCTCCTCCTTCCGTATTTCCTCCTCTGTTCTTCTTATCTCCTCGGCCTCCTGCTCCTCCTTCCGTATTTTCTCCTCTGTTCTTCTTATCTCCTCGGCCTCTCTCCGCCGGCTCTCCTCCATCTTCTTCGGCAGCGCCTCGTTATTCTTCAACTTCCCAAAAAGCATGTCGAATATCTCCTCGGCCCTCGTCTTCGGGTTCTCGTTGGCCGCCGCGTTCTTGGCTGCGTCGCTCGCCTTTCTCTGTTTCTCCCTCTGCGCTGAAGCCGCCTTCTGCTCGGCGTTCTTGTTGCGCTCATGTTCTACCGTGCGCCCTCATCAGTACCGCACCCACGACGAATGAAAAAAAAAGGATGAATCATGACCAACCAAGATCCCACTGTTCTCCCTTAATCCCACTAAACCCACATCTGATCTCATAGTTTCTCCTACTCTCGGGATTGCTGAGGCACTGATATGCTTCGTTGACCTTTTTTTCTCCGTCAGGTCGCCACAGCCACCACCCCATCACATAGTGCAAAGCCACCTTCTGGAAAAGCTGAGTACACTCCCTCTTCTTCGACGCGGGGCAACGATCCGGATGTGCCAACCGGGACGCGGCGAAATACGCCACGCGGATGTCGCGGGGGCTGCCCGAGGGCGCGGCGCCGAGCGTGCAGTAGTAGCAATTCGGTTGGTGACGCATCGTGTTGAGTCGTTAGGTTTCTGTTCTGCAGTCCGATTTGCAGACGGATGATCGATACGGTGTGATGAAAACACCCCCCAAGGAAAAGCTAACCAATATACAGGTTCCACGGGGCGATCTGAGCCTCAAATACAAGCTGATAGAGTCCTGCCCCAGCTGGCCCCATCCCATGAAGTGGAGTTTCGATACGGCAAGGATGCAACCCGCGAGTGAGCACCCGTGACCCTCGCTTCGTGCGGCGCTTGGGGATAAATGCGTTCCCCATGGTGCGGCAGCTGCAGTGGCTGGAATGTGATGTGCAGTCTACGGGAACGCGAGCGCCGTGGGTGTGGGTAGCAGAAGATGGGTAGGTAGTCACGTACATACGGTACCTCCGAGTTATCCGTTGCTATATCGGGTATTATCGGCCTGCCAGAGCGCAGCGGTGCAGTCTAGTCCTCGTGCTGAACTGAGTTCTGACTGTGTAGGATATCGGAATGCCAGGTGCAGCCTGCACGACGGAATATGGTACGTGGGTCTGTTTTATAATTGGTGTAGTAAGGCCTCGGCAGCAAAGTCGCCTGTGTAGTGTGGAGATCCGTCGGCGTCTTACTGTTTACATTCCAGCAGAAGCCACGATGTCGGCAGATCCTGGAGAGCAGGCTGAAAACTTATGGACTGATCTCTGACTCTGAGCTCAGCCTTCAGAGTCTCGACTCGAACTTTTGCAGAAGCAAAAGTCCAAACGTGGGCTAACTATAGGTACATGCGATCACAGGGCCACAGGCCCCACGTTGGATGTTCTGAGCTGCCTACTGCCAAGTGGTAATCTCCCTCGGGCTTTAACCACGTCTCGAGGAATGACATTCAATAGGTACCTACTTCTTAGGTAAACGATTCCAGAAGCCACAGCCGCCGCCACCACCACAACCACACGATGTCGCGGAAGACATCATGGGGCTTCCGGTCCTGTAGCCGCTCCGGAATCCGGATGGATGGATGGATGGTTGCCATGGTTCGACTCATTGATGTTTCACGTTGATGGACAGATACCTAGCGCAGACAACCGAGAGACGGGACCCGCGCGGCAATGAGGCGAAGAGACGAGGCATACCTACGGGAGCCAGTACCAGGGACCGCGGGAGTAGGGGACCGCGGGAGTATGGGTTCGCTAGAGTAGAGTATTTGTAGCGCTCTTTGCTGCCTCCGGCGGCGGACCTACCGCGGCTGGTCCGCTGTGGCTGTGGCTGTACTCTACAGTACATCAGGGTGTGGGCTGTACTCTACATCATTTACCTACTCTAGACCCAGCAGCGCCTGCTCCTTCGGCAGTGGGCGCTGAAGAGCTATCTACCGTACTCTACTTACCTGTCGAGGACGCCAGCCCCACTCCCTTCCATTCTTCCTCCTCTTCTTCTCTCAGCTGTCGTACTCCACCTGTCGAGAATGCCAGCCCCACTCCCTTCAGACTTCCATTCTTCCCCCCTCTTTCTTTCAGCTGGCGTTACTCGTTACAGCACATTCATGCTATGGATAGACGGTATCTACAGTAATAGTGGTAGTCTAGAGTACCATAGGTACTTCGTGAACCCAGAGCACGGTCCGTTGACACAGTACCGTACCGTACATACCATCGCAAACAATATCCGCCACCCTTGCTGTAATAGCCACGTTCAGTTACCTACTGCATTCGCACCGCCGGTCTGGTGGGCGGCTGGAGCTTGGATTGGTTTGCCCTAGTTAGTTAGGTACCTAGTGCTACGATGTGCAGGCGAAACGCAACGAGCGGCGAGCAGCGGGGCAAGGCGCACTTTGTTCAACGGAAGTTATCGATTAACAAGCCCTGAACAGTGAAGACGGCCACGATACATACTCTACAGTCGGAAGGTTCCATCACTATATCCAGCAAGTGCTAGGTAATCTACCATAGGTATGGAAGATTGGAGTGATGTGTGCACGCGGGCGCGGCGACACGGACACTCGGTCATTGAAATTGGGATGTATGTATGTAGTACTGGAAGTGTGCAACAGGCAGAGTTCTCGTTCAATTGACGGCCTAGATAACGTAGATATCGTATCGCATATATTCCCACCGTCCAACAACAATGACAACAATAACAACAACAACGACACCATAGTCCACCCGCCCGCCAGCCTCGAGAGAACAACAGCCCTCCACTTCCACTTCCGCTTCCGCCTTCCCGACCGACCGACCGCAGTCCTCCGACACAACAAAAAGAAAAGAAAAGAAACCCCCACCCCTCCCACGAGTATGTGACTCCCAGGAGGTGGAAGAAGAGGAGGTGGTGACGGTGGTGGTAGTAGGTGATGCTGCCGGCAAGGGCTGATCGAGAGCAGCGGCGAATTGAGGTTGATTCTTCAATGGCTATCGATTTGACAGTCGTTATAGAATCGAGCGACGTCGTGAACTACCAAAATTTGGTAGTCATACCTACTCGAAGAGTTCGAGTATATAGGTATTCCAGTTTTGGCTAGCGATGCGCAGTCAAATCGGCGTCGGAGAAACTCGCACTACCAAGTTGGTAGTTCGAGAATCGCACGAGCGCGCACTACCATGGTCATTAGTAGTGGGCTCGTTCATCTTCGCAGATCTGCGAAGTGTGTCGACGCTGTCGGACGCAACGACGGAGTGCGTCGACGGTACCACCGTGGTGGTGGGTGTTGCTAGGGGGGGGGCTTCGGGTTTCGAAGTCTGCGTGAAGAGGGGGGGAATTTTGGGCGGCGGAGAGCGCCATTTATCGCCTGGACGGGTGCGCGGAAATCGGCTCATTCCAGAGTGAGGGGTTTGTTGTTGCTACATACATACCGTACGCCGTACGTACCACCACACCGCATGACTGCGGCAAGAATGGGGCTGTATCACGTTTGCGGGGGTAGGTGGTTATGTGCCCCCCATCATACATACCACAGTCCAGGGAATACCATACTTGGCACTGCGCACAGTGTGTTATCTACAAATGTACCCATGCGCGGTCCTCACTTCCATCATCCATGATCACTTGCCGTGCGGGATCAAGGGCGAATCGGCGATAGCTTTTGCGCTCGTGATGTCCCAGCTACCTAGGTAGTTAGCTAGTTGACTGCTGGAGTCTGGAGTCTTGGATTTTATTTTTGAATGCAAAATGCTACATACTGGCTTCGGGACGGACCGTCTTTCGCGCCTGTGCCTGTGATCTCGGCGTACCAGTATGACATCGCCACATCCTGATAATGGAGAACATGAGTGCACGGTACATACTAGTACTGAAGTGGATGATGAGCTATATTGGCGAAGACAGAGAAGGGGACATGGGGAGGTAAACAGACGTCGTCTATATAATATACTCTACCTACACGAGGCTGGAGAATACCGTAGCGTGCTCACATTCACCACAACTCTCCGACCAGTGGGTCATGTTATTCACCACTTGACGTTGTCCTTCTTCGCCAATTCCTCGGCCCTATCGCAAAGCTTGGTACGGAACCCACACTTCACTGAGCCAGCCTACTCATGAGGTCGCTGCTCGCTTGCCCGGAGCCGGTCAGCTACTTGTCAAGTAGCAAAGTTTGCGATGAGGTTGAAGCATATACTTTCCCCGGGTTTTAAAGTGCGTTGGTGTCGTTGTTGGTGTTGGTTTTCAGAGCCCGTTGCGCGGTTACAGTCAATTCAACGGCATGACACCCCTGGATCAATTACTAGTAGCGGCTCCATCATGTCCCCGTATTAGTAGGCGACCTATGTATGACATAAGCTCGCCACGTCTCCGTCGTCCTCGCTCGCAGTCGACCACCCAACATCCAAAAGTACACAGCAACATGTACCTCACGATCCCGCAAACCCTCCTCTCCGTAGGTGTTCTCTTCCTCCTCGTGGCCATCCCCACGCATGCCCGCACCACCACCACCTCGCAAGAGCGAGCGCACTTCATGCGCGCAACACTGCACACGCTGCAAGGCCCATGCCCGCGGAACCCATTCACCGCGCTGATCGTGAACCACACGGCGTCGCCGGCGACAATCGTGTGCACGGGTAGCAACAGCGCATACGCCGACGGCTACCATCCCGTGATGCACGGCGAGATGGCCGCAATCATGAATTGCTCGCGCTTGCTAAGCTCCAGGGAGGCCTGGGCAGATTTGAGCATCTACACGGATGCTGAGAGTTGTCCTATGGTTGGTTTTGCTCGAGGGAGAGGGGGGAGGAGGAGGAGGCACGGCTGAACGCGGGGGTGCTGCTGCTGATGATGGTGATGGTGGGCTTACATACGACGATATGCAGTGCGCCGCCGCCATTCGCTGGGCTGGCATGAGAGAGTACATCTACGGCACGTCGGTGGCGACGCTGCTCGCCAATGGTAACTACCTATCTAGGCACTGGACGCGTGCCACCCCACCACTTCGGAGGAGGAGGAGGAGGAGCTGACGGACAATTCCCTGGTCCCAGGATGGCCACAGATCACGATCGATTCGGACGAGCTGTTTGCGCGGTCCACGATGTTGACGCCGCAGACAGAGTTGGTGTCCGATGTGCTGGCAAACGAGACGGATCCTATGTTTGCGTGGCAGTTTCGGCCCCAGGCTGAGTGTCCGAAGGGCTGTCACAGGGCCGGGACCGATTGCGTTCCGGTGGGCGGGGAGGACACTCCCGTGCCGAAGAAAGAACTGTAGCGTAGGTATGTATGATAGCATGTGTATATGTCTGGAGGATTTCTTTTCTGTTGGTTGGGGACTGACCAACAACTGAGCCATACTTTTGGGGGCCGTGCGGGTGCTGGTTGGGGGACCTCTTGAAATTTCTCCAGGTATCACCACACCCAAGTAATAGCAATGCATGCAGATGCGGCGAGGATGCCGACCCCACTACCTATATGAGTACCGTGTACTCAGTGTACCCCACAAATGACATTTATTCATAGGAAGCGGGGAAAAGTGATATCATATATGTTCTAGCCTGCCGGGCAAAATGTGTTTTTTATAAATAGACTGGCCCGGGGGGCAAAAGACTGGATATGCGATCTGACCGGACTGCCGAGTCAGAAAATATTCTGGACAGACCAGTCTCTGCACATACTTTTTAACCCGATAGACCGGCCTGCTGGGTGATTTTGGTCGCCTGGCCAGTCCACCGGGAATATTTTACGAGTAGACCAGCCTGCCGGAAATGATCTATGTGCATGTCTGTGGGCATCACATTTACGGCGATGGATTGAAGTATATCAGCAGTCAATAATGTACTATCGAGTCAACGCCCAAATCTTTACACAGACCTCATGTGAATCTACACGTTATTGTCCCCTCAGCCGTGCACCCTAGCCGTGCACCCTTTTTCTCTTACTCAACACCCGTCCAATGTCTTCCTTAGCTATTCCCTTGTAGGCTCAGCCCCCCCCCCCCCCGAATACACATACCGCCACAGAAGACCGTCGTTATGTTGCCAGTACGCCGCGCCCGTTTCTGGCTGGATGCTGTTTGGGCACCTAGGAGGAGACTGCGGCGGCTAGTTGTGGGTGCTGGTAAAACAGCGGCGACTCGTGGACTGTTCTCAGTTCTGGCAATCATTACTTGAAAGTTCGGCAGAGGCATCTGTAGCTTCTGCTATCGCAGTAATGACGGTGATATGTAAAGGCATGTATGATGCTTGAAGATGTGAAGCCGAATATCAAATGTGTCAAACCTGATATTTGTCGATTCATGGTGGCAAGAGGAACAGCTCTTTCATAGTAGCAAGAAAAAGATTTTTTCTAATGGCACCACAGAAGGTTTTAGTTACCGAGTAGCGCCGGGAACCTGCGAGCAGACTGGCCTCCTCACAAATATGCGGGCAGACCAGTCTACTCGCAAAAACGTTTCCCCACTGTTCGGTCACTTCGTATGTCCAGTCACTTCGTCTGGGGGCCGGTCACTTGGTCTGGTGGCCGGTCCATTTTTAAAATACTAGTTTTTCCCGGCAGGCTAGAACATATATATACCAAGCAGAACCACAAATCCAACAATCAGGCACTTTTCCGTCGTGAAACTGGTGGTGCCGAATAAGCCTTGAACTCGTCGTGAATCTTGGGTCAGTTCGATTGGTCTTCGGCGAACGCCTCCGCGCTCGAAATCAAGAACCCTTACCACGCTCTCGTTTCTGGTTCGGCCACATAATACATATTCCTGTCTCAAGAATGTGCACAGTGCAGTGTGATGCCAAGATACATGATTACCGTACATACATGCGGCCAAGGGGCTCCCTGCCCGTTGTGCCCCGCATCTCGCACATGCTCCAGGGTAGATTACTTTCAAGAACATATTCTAAGTGTAGGGGTAGCTAGAGCGATAACTAATCGGTTGGACGGGAAGTGCTTACTACCAGATACCCTACATACTCCAGGCAGCTGTTGGTAGGCACTCTATGGCGAGTCCTCGTAAGGAAGGTGGGCCGAAGAATGTCCGGGGATTAGAGAGCTCGAGCGTGAGTGATGTGGGGGGGTGGGGAGGGGGAAAAGAGGATAAAAGCCCTCCACAGGTCCCCACTCCTTCCTTTCCTCTTCACGCAACCTTTGATCCCCCTCAAAGCTGATATATTTTCCCTTGGTGCCTGGGGAGACCCCACTCCCCGGCTGTCGAACCTTTTATGTTGTGTCCGAAAGGTTCAATGGAGTCACCAAAGCTACCCCGAGTCTGCTGCTGGACTACCACCATGTGGAACGACACAGACCCGAACGATGTCTCCCGCCCCGCTGCGGGGGATTCAGCACAGGGCTACATCCGTGGCCCGACCCCACTGCTGCTTCGAACTCATCGGAGCGATAAGATACCGTACGCCTGCCGCCCTCATCGGCATGATACGTATTTCAATAAACAATGGACATTGGACAATGGACAATGAACAGTCAAATGCCCTAACCCGGCATGATCGGTCAATTAAAAAATCAACCCCGCCGCTGCCCACTCTCAGCTCTCGCCGGCAGCACCCTCACACCCATCACAAAAAAAATCTCCTTCTTTTCTCTTTTTCTTTTCTCGTCGAAAGTCGGCAGTACTAATGGGCAGGCTTGGAGGAGGGAGTCGGAGGAAGGCGTTCTGCAGGAGGGATTTTTGTTCAGTTTAGTCATCAGGAATGCGGAGTCGACGCCGTATGGAATAAGAGTCTCTGTTGTGGAAATCGTCGCGTGCCTCAATTGTAGAAGTCAAAAGCAGTGAAAGACCAACCCGAAACTAAACCTTTGCTTCCTATCAGAGCATTCCGTCTCATTCGGCATTTTCTAGTACCCGTAAGATCTAAACCAATCCCCTCTCGCCGATCGACGAGAACGTTACCATCGCCAACATCAACGTCAGAAGAAACATTTACACCTCGATACCCCCCCCCCCCCCCACCCCAGTGACCCCAACCCCGCCAACACCAAATTAAATTCCCTCACCACGTACATACACGATACTGCAAAACAAATCTATCCCGCTTGCCCCCTCACTCCAAATCGCCAACCGCAGTGCACTCACTACGCATGCCGTGTGGCCCTTTTCGCTCTCGGGCTCGCTCTCTCTGGCGCCTCCACTGCCTCGGGGACTACCATAACCCCACCCAGCTCCACCGGCTTCCCGTAGTGCAGCGTCTGCTCCGCGCGACCGCCACCACCCGCCCTCCGCCGCCGCCGCCGCCGGAGGAGCCAGAAAAGCACAAAGAGGAGTAGCGCGACGCCCACGCATCCGGCGATCGTCACGCCGACAACCGTAGCGGTTGTTGGGGCGGCCGCGGACGGTGGATCGTTCCGGCCCCCGCTCCCGCCGCCCCCGATTATCCCGCCGTCGCCGAGGTCACTGCTCGATGGAATGGGTACCACGAACGTGTTGGTCCCTGACGGCCTAAACGTCGAAAACGGTACCTCCACCACCACCACCGATGGCGTGCCTGTGGCCCTGGAAGACGTGAACACCCCGACGCTAGTGACCACGTCCGTCGCCGTTCGAGTGATGCGAGATGTAGAGGTGAATATCTCGCCGTCGACGGGAGCGGGGCCGTTGTCGCACGTAGACGTCGACGAACAATGCTGCGTGAGCATGCAGCATATCGATCCACAGTCGATTGGACAGTTCTGCGGGTTTCTTCCGAGGAGCAATCGATGTCGTGGTAATGTACTAGTAGCCATGGGATCCATTCGGCGCGGGAGGGGGGGGGTGGGGGGGATCAGAGATCACAGTCTGCGCATGAATGGCCCCTTATGTACTCTACTCTACCCCGACCTTACATGCGCAGGCCAGCGAAGTACACGTTAAATCCCAGTGGCTGGTAGTTACATATGTGCTATAGCTAAATATGAAGAAAAGCAAATATACATACGGGCCTATTTTTCGGCAGCGTCAGCCAACCGGAACTGTCCTGTCCAGAGCGCCACAGAATCACAGCATATCACGGTAGAGTATATCACGGCTCATCACATGACTCGCCCGGCGGCTGTGGCTCAGCTGAAATTCACCCAGGTCTGACATATCAATGCGTCCGTTTCTACATATCCTCCCGTATACACGAACTCCAATTTCTAATACTCAAGGCTTGTCCGCCGGTCCACCGGCTTTCCACCCACCTCTGTCCGTTCATTCTGGCCCCGGTACCCCTCGGGAGCCTGCCGCCCCATCTTCCAGTCCTGATCCATCTGTATATCGTCTTACTTCGGGTGTAGGGGGACCTAGGTTGCTCGCCGTATGTTTTGCTTCCTCCCTTCCCTCGATGATGAAGTTCATCGTAGGGACTCTCGCCTCCACAGCCGTGGCCCGTGGCAGCGTAAGACGCGTCACGTGATACTACCGAGTGATATGTAACTAGTGCTGCCTCCGTCACGCCAAAAACAAAAACAAAAACCATCACCACCCCCGGTGGGTAGCTTGGAAACCCCAAAAGTTGAATACAAAGGTCTTTCACCCAGGTTGAACCCGGAGCTTTCCCCCAGCCCCCCTCGCCGATTGCATGGCCTAGTATACCACTAGACCACGCGGGTGTTTTTTCCGTGCTGGAAACTTGAATTCGATGCCCATAAAATGGTCGGTGCCCCCGCGACAGATAAGGTGCGCCACAACGCTTTCTGCGTTGAGCGAGCGAACAACTTCATGCCGTGTGCTTTGAATGGATTTGATGCGACGTCTTTATGCGTTTGAACGAACGATGAAGACAGCGCGGTAATCACGGCGACCCTTTTAGAGCTACTTAGGGCCTATTTATAGCCTATTGATCCACAATCGATCAGACAATTCTGTGCCTCTCTTAACTATTATCTTCCGGATACGCAGCATCACTCGTCTCTCGAGTGACTGTCTATGCGCCGTTTTCTGCGTGGGGACGTCAGAGCCCACCGCTCTGCACCGTTAAATACTGGCCGTAATTCAGCGGGTTGGGGTGCAGATGTGGGGGTAAGGGGCTGGGCTCGGCGATACTAGGTATATACATCCTCCTGGCTACGATGCGTAACTTTCTGGCCATCGACTCGAGGGGCCAAACGTTGTAGTGCCATAGCTTCATCTACCACTACGTATTCGCGGGGATGTACTATAGAGCTCTGACCACACGTAATGTTTCGAGAGTTTCAAAACGGAACTGTCGGCGAGGAAACCTACATATCTCATCTGTCCCAGGAATACAGTACTACCTACCTAACCTAGTACTTGTCGGTCTAAGTCACAGTGCTGCATTTATGGAAGTTTATCATCCGTACCAAAACTGTATGTACGCATTTCGAATTTAACCATAAACTTTATATTCTTAGCCACCCACCTGTGTCGAGGCATAGCAATGGCCTGCGTAGTCGGTGATCTCAGTACTCGCCAAAGTGCGTACTCCTGTAATAGATGGCGTATTACTACGGTACTTCATGGATTTGATTCATGTACATGCGTAGTCTACATCAGAAACTATCGTATGTAGCTGTTGCTTGACAGCACGACCGTCCTAGATATATCATAGTTGCCCCCTTCACTCCCTTGTATGTAGGTATATATTACCAGCTCCTGAGCTCTCCTGTAGTATCCGACTATTCTTCCGCTTCCTCGTCCTCCTAAGAAGTATTCATTCTTCCCCTGCCTCAGCTCCTCCTCTGCATCCCCGCCATCCACATCCTCATCTTGGCCACCCTCGTCCTCGCTATCTTCACCATACCTAGGTGTCTAGCCACCATCGTCCACCACCGTCCACCCGCCATTTCAATCCGCAAGGAACAGCCTGGCGTCAAAACGGAGCTCGGAGCTCACGCCGTTGCCGCCAGAGCCGCTGTCACTGTCACTGTCACTGTCACTGTCACAATCACCGTCCAGAACCGACTTGAGCGGCTAGCCACGCATGCCTTAGCCCTACATCGGGGCAGGGCATTTGCAGAATTCTGCTGCGGCTTGTACAACACAATACATATTCCGGTTACTTAGTTCGGGAGGGCCACAGCCCGTGCGTGCCGGATCTGGTCGGTCGGTCGGTCGGTCGGTCAGTCGGTCGATGCCTCGGTTGGCAGTTAGCGGCTGGCGGAAACATTCGGCCTGTTGCGGTCTCTTACATTACAATCAGAACCGCCAGCGGGCCCTCCCACTCTCACGCCCTCCCGCAGCCATCCGCGCCCATCCACGAGAGGCTCGCTAACTAACGCGCGCCTGCGGTAATCCGGCGGCGGCGGCGGGAAAGCGGCCGCGCCCCGCAGCAGCTTAATTAGCGCAGCCGATGGTATTAGTCGTAGTATCCGCGCGCCGGCCGAAAGCGCAATCCGCCGTCACGGGCATCGCGGCATCGCGAGCGGCGGACTCCCAGTTCCGTATGCAGCCTCCGTGACTTCGTCCTTGTCGCCATACTCCCGCGCACCCTGGCAGCGGCGGATACGGATACGCATTCGTGGACGATCATAAGATCTCACTCTCGTATATGCCGAGATAAGAACGCTTGGAGCAACAGTAAAAGCGTCCGGAGCAATCACCGTGTGTACAAGTTTCTGGGAATCCCGCGTCGCGCCGCGGCAAATGCGCGAGCAGGCCCCGAGTCCCCGATTGGCGGTCAAGCTCGAGTGAGCAGTAATGAATTATGACCTCCGCCGTGCCCGACCCGTTGCGCGCGAGCAGTCAAAACTACACGGCGCATGCCGTCTCTACTATAGGGATTCCTCCCCCCTCTCCTCTGACCCTAGTAGGTGGGCAAGACCGGTACCCGTCCATATCTATTGCCTCCTCGCCTCCTCGCCTCCAATTAGAGCCTTGGAGCTTTGGAGCCTTGCATTGTGCACCGTCAGGCGGGCCGCCGAACACGCGAACACAGTACACTCGAACCGTCGCTCGAACACTGTGAGCGCACGACAGCCCGCACCCACCCACCCACCCAGATCCACACGGATCCACACGGATCCGTGCGGAGTCGTAAGGAGCCATGCTGAAGACATGCTGACGCCTGAAACCCGAAGCACCCCCGAGTCCCGAACCAAGCACCTACTCGGGCCCGTTTAAGGCAACCAGCTAGCCGAATACCCACCGTCATGTAAATCACGGCGTCCGGGGGGCCGCTAGAGCGTAGAGGCCAGATTGTACATGTCCCCACTGCATCGTGGTAGAGGGAATTCCTTCATACGGATCCCCACCTCGTCGTTACTCGACGTTACTCTGCTGGGGGGCTGAGGTGCGGGCTAGAAGGAGACCCACCTAGCTATGACACCTATTACGAATACTTCCAACTCATAACTCACAAATCCTCTATACCTGAGGGAAAATGTATGATATGTATGATATGTATCATACGTCTGAAACTTCTGCCCATATGATGTACCAATCGCATTCCGCGGCGTGCGTGCGTACTGCTGTGCGGCTGAGTCGTGTGGGAATCGAGAATTGAGGAACACACATGCTATCATACATGTGATGAAAACAAATGAATGCAAGTAGTAATGCCGTCTCGGTAACGAAATGTGCACTGCAGAGTGCGCTGATCCCGCTCGTTAACGCGCATCTTTGGTGTAGGTACTCTACTTACTTACATACGAGCACCACTGTTTTCCCCAAGAAACGTACATACCAGTACCTTCTCCCAGAGTACTCTACAAGACGCCATCGCAATCGATTGCTGTTACCCCCTTCATCACAACAACAAGAAGAATTATACAATACGATTCCAGCGGTTGATGGAACAAAATCAAAACTCCATTTGCTCTGTAAAAACAACCCCAAGTACCAACCAACCAACCAACCAACCAACCTCACACGGACCCGCAACACAACCAAGATGAATCCCTAATGAGAAGAAGAAAAAAAAGGGCGAAAAGTATAGAAAAGCAAAAGCAAAGAGGCAAAGAAACCCCCGTTGAAAACTTAGCATGTGGAATGAAAAGCGTGGGTAACAAAACCAGGAGAGCAAGTACTTGTGAGAGATCGCAAGACAAATCAAACAAGAAAAAACAACCGTCAATCCCCAAAGTAAAGAATTAGAAAGACAACCCAGAAGAAAAGGAGAATGGTAGAAAGAAACAAAAAGGGAAACAAAAAGGGAAACAAAAAAACATATACAAGCTACAATAAAGTAGCAGATGCCGCTCGATCAGACCAGCGGAGAAAACATCAGTCATTCTCGTTCCCCCCGTCTACCCAGTTTCTTGTCGATTCCCCTGCTCTAGGTACATCCCTCATACAAGTCGTCCAACTCAAAAAGAGTCATTGATACCAGAGCACACGGCAACCTCTCACCAGGTCCGGTGCCCTAACCGTCACATGTCAACGCCATTGTGGTAGATACCACGAATGACACGAGCAGGGTTACCAGCAACGACGGTGAAAGGCGGGACGTCCTGTGCGGATTGCATGTCAGTTAATTGTTACTCTTGACGGGGTCGGAAGCGGATGTGACTAACCCGTGTGACCACACTTCCAGCTCCGACGACACTTCCTTTTCCGATCGTGATGCCACCCCTGAGAGCAAGCGCCACATTAGCATACATTCCGCCACATCATTGCCCGCAATAAGAGGCTAACTCACAATACGATGACATTTCCTCCCAACCAACAGTCTTCCTCGATCAGAACCGGCTTGGCCATCTCTGGTCCCCGGGCTCCATTGCGTTTCCGCGGGTCGATGGGGTGGGTCGCAGCGTAGATGCTGACACCGGGCGACAGGATCGTGCGCGCTTTGATGGTCACGTTGCAGCTGTCCAGGATCGTACATCCAAACTCGATGTAAACGTTCTTTCCCAGACGAATGTTGTAGCCGTAGCTGCACGTGAACGGAGCGTCCACAGTGACATCTACGATATCACTCTGGTATCCATTGTCCGTGACGTAGGTGATGGCACCAGGTGTTCCAGGGGCAGCCCCAGTGCTCACCACCTCCCACTTATTTCCCGGTCGCAGAATATCGAGGAGCATTCTGCCCTTCTCGCCCTCCGACACTTGGCTGTTTGGGTTCGACGCGATATTATTGTATCTCCAGCAAGCCGCCTTGCAGGCCTCACGTTCGGCGACCAGCTCGGGCGAGCTAGCGTGGTACAACTCCGAGTTGATCATCTTCTCCTTCTCCGACCTCGGACGAACCATCGCGCCGGATGCCGCAGTCAATGCTTGGTGCGAGGAAAACGACACACGACGATCCGAACCGCCCATCGTAGGACTAGCAGCTACGTTGGGATTGACGTTTGGGGTGCTGTTGTTGTTGTTACTGCTGCTGCTGTTGTTGTTTCCATTCTCGTGTTGTGGGGTAGATGCGGAAGGCGTAGGACCGTTATCGCCGCGTAGAGGCAAGTAGGCGTGGTTCGCAGACCGTGGAGACATGCCGTCTTGCGTCGGTGTTGCGTTTCGACCGCCAGAGAGCTCATCAGCGCGCGCGTGGTAAGGACGGTCCTCCATTCCCATCCGATGGGAAGCGCTCGTGGGCGTCGAGACGGGGATGGTATGTGTGTGGATTGGGGAGTCCACCATGGGTTGATCTTCCTTCGACTGAATATATGGTGGTCCGGTAACAACTGAGGGAGGTATCTGCTTGCCCGGGGGCTTCTGCCAACTGACTTTACCTGAATAACCTTCACAAACGAAACCTCCACGTTTGCAATTAGTACCTATTGAAAATGTCAGTAGATGTAGTTGACACCCAGCTTAGATCGACAGTAAATAAGAACAAACACGGGATAGCAGTCTATAAAGGAAAGAAGTGAAGGGCTGGATCAAGGGCTGAGAGAGTGTGTCCGTGCATTGTTGGTGGCGGTGGTGGTTGCGGGATGGGGAGGGGGTAAGACAGCAAGGTACAGGATGATAAGGCGTTGGGAAGCGATCGACAATGAAATAGCCGCCAGAATTGCTCGCGCCGACCACAACAACGAAGGGGGGAGGGGGGAGGGGGCGTATGATGGCTAGCTAACGAGATACCGTAATGACACGGCGGAAAGACACGACCGATTTTTTTTATTTTTTTTGCAACTCATGCAAAGCGGAGGAAGAGCGGATTAAGAATGAAAAAGAAAAGAAAGAGCAAAAAGCAGTAAAAAAAATATTCTATTTGGCTAAAGGAATGGAGGGGAGGGGAACTGACATTCTGGCTTGCCTTCATCACACTTCTTCTTCCGTCGGCGGCAGGTGATACAGCCAGTTTTGGTTCGGTTGCTGAACACTCTCTTTCTTCGCTTCGGATCCACACGCACACCGGTTATAGGGTCCATCTGTAGGCTCTGTGGATGTGGGGATGTCTCTTCCATGGTGTTCCCTCGCACACTCCTATCCCCGTCTTCGGACATTGCGTCCATGCGATGTAGACCGTGCTCGGGCATTGGCATCGGCCCCATTGCCGCCTCGTGGGCAGCCAGATGATGATGCTGGGTCTGCGTCACAGGACTCACGGATCGCTTCCTCTTCTGGCCGGCCAAATCCGATCCGAGTGCTTGCCATGGATCGTCAGCGGTAGGCGGCGGCATGCGCGGAGAATTGGACCGAGAGCGGTCGTGATGGGCGTATCCGTTTCCGTTTCCGTTGACGGGCGTTTGAGGGTTAGTGCTGGCGTTGGGAGCGCTGGTGTTCGGGGTGGAGCTGGTGTTCGGAGCGCTGGGGGTCGGAGCACTGCTTTGGTTCGGAGTGCCATGATTCGTAATGTTAGGGTTTGGGGCGCTGGGGGCGTTGTTGCCGTTGCTGCTACTGCTGCTGCTATTGTTATTGGCAACCGGCGTCGGCGTGCTGCTGCTGCTGACACCGTTGCCATTGCTCGCTCCGTTGTACGCAACAGTAGGTGCCTGGCGGGCGGCAGGCACCGGCGTCGACGGGGCCACAGTAACTGGTTGCCCACCACCGAAGATGGTTGTAGGATTGCGGATGGGCGCTAATGGCGAAGGCGCGGGTGCGGGTGCGGTTCCATTCGTGGGTGAGCCATCGGAGGACGAGCGGCGAGCAAAATTGTTGGTTGTGTTTACCGCCGTGAATTGCTGGGGCGGAAGTGGCTCGCCGCCATGTGCCGGCGAAGTAGGGCCGGGTTCAGTACCATCGTTGGACATTGCGTGAAGCCTCACTGAGAACGTCCGTGCTCTTTCTCTCTGTTTCTCTTTCTCTCTTTCTCTCTCACACACACTCTCTAACACTCTCTGTTTCCCTCCTTCTTCAATTGCCACTTTCCGAGGTGGCTGGGTGTTGTAAAGTTAAGGACGCAAGATCAGCTGAGCGAATGGATGTAACAGTCAAGGGGGGGCTGGGATGGGGTGGGCGCGTTCGATGATAGCTGGTGGTTGTTGTGGTGGTGGTGGTGGTGGTGGTTGTGGTGGTGGAGGAGGGTTAAGCTTGGAGGAGGTTGCGTTGTGATATAGCGAAGCGCGAGCGGGAACGACTTAAATAAGTAGTAGCGAAGCCCGGAGTACAAGAGTTGAAGACGGCGCGCGCGTGAGTTTCTGGTTGCAAGTACAAATGTCTGCAGCAGCGGAAGCGTAATGTCGGTACCGGCTTGCCGGATGCCTTTAGCAAGGAGCGAGCGTTGACTGGTAAGAATAGAAAAGTGTCTCTCTTTCTTTCTGTCTGTCTGTCTGTCTTTTTTTTCCTTTCTTTCCCTGTGTTCTGATTTCTCCGTGATCTCTGGGAACGCGAAGGAAGCGGGGGACGCAGAAACGGGGGTGGGTGTGTGGGAGTTGAAATGGGGTGAGAGAAGAAGAGTTGGGGTGGGCGGGCAGACGAGGCACTTTTTCAGGGTGGTGAATTGGGGGTGGGAGGGACGGGTGGGGAGTGGAGGGAGAGGAAGGGTGGGTGGTGCTGGTACTGGTGGTGCTGCTGGTGGTGGTGGCCAGCAAGCAGTGGGTGGAAGGATGAATGAGTTGAGTAGAGTTAGGTTTTCGAGGAGAGGGCGGAAAGGCGGAAGACCAAGCGCTGAGGGTGGGCGGAAGAGGATGCTCTGTTGTGCAGTACTTGGGCGCGACAGGATTGGTCGATGCAGTTGCATGGTAAGCGGACCCGACCGGCTGGGCACACGCAATGACCCGGCGCTGACCCCCCGCCTGACCTTTGCCGGGGCAGGAGCGCGCGACTCGGGTCCGACTCGGGTCCTGGACCGAGCAGGACAGGGATCGAGTCGATGGGACGCGCGGTGAACGGGGCGCGGAAGGGAGAGACGAGAAGAGCAGAGACGGAGAGAGAGCGACACTAGGCGGCAAGTGAGGAAGATGGAGAACCGGGTGTCAAAGACGTCAGAGTTCGCCGCGAGCGACAATTAGCACTGCACAGGTATAGGTAGTACAAGGGTGGTGGTGGTGATGGTTATCGCGGGCGATTGAGCGGTTGGCATTCAGGGCTTTTCCCGCGGTGAAAGCGACGGACCGCCAGGCAGGCGAAAGTGGTGCAATGGGCGACCGCAGTGAACAAGACAGACCGCCAGGCAGGCAAAAGTGGCGGAATGGAGTGGACGACCGCTGCGAATAAGACGGACCGCCAGGCAAAGTGGAGTGAACTCTGGAGTGGGCGACCGCAGCCGTAGCGGTGTGCAATGTGTGGCCAACCTGGCGGCTGATGATCGATGGCATCATCGCAATACGAGAAGAATGAACGCGGGAGGATTCACAGGCACGTATGTACTCTACATACATACTGGTACGTACCAACTGACCCGCAGGAGCTGGCACTGAAGACAAACGAGCACTTGGATCTGGCGCAACAAAGTACCGGATCTCGCTGGTACGTATGGCGGGTGGGTATGTACAGTACTCGCAGCTGGTAATCCTTCCGGGACCAGACCAGACCAGCGCACTCACTCACACACCATACACGCACACACACACACACGGATAACACAGGTTCTGAAGACTCAACATACAGAGGACGCTGCGGAACAGGTTTGTTAGTTCGACTATCAAGCGCTTGCATGCGACTGACGACGATGCTGCGAAAAACCGTTGAAGAATACCATCACAACCTTGCGGATTCTGATCACATTCGCCCCGCTCCATCTACACACCTTTCGAATAGCGCACGACGATTGACCGGAGCTTCTTGCTTGCCAGCTTCCTTCCTTCCTTCCTTCCTTCCATCCATCCATCCATCCATCCATCGTTCCCTTCCCTCCATGGGTAAACGGGTTGGCGGGTACAGAGCCCAACTCGACAGCCAACGGTGGCGATGTGTGGGGGATAATGGGGGGGAGGGGGATGCGAGCGTGTGTGAGAACCAGAGTTGGTGACTTGGATCGATCATGCAAGAGCAGCGAAAATGGGCAAAGATTGCAAGGGCAAAACACCTAGACGCTGCGCGGATATCTCAGCTGAGGGCACGGCAAGAGTGTTCCATGTGACCTGCTGGGGGGGGAAGGGCTAAACTCGGTCGGGCAGCGCAGACCCGCCGCCGCCTCCAACACGATGGTTAATACCGGTAATCCAACCTTGTCTGGCCGTCCAAACATCCTGTCCCCCCCTCCCCCTATGCGAGCGAGAATACCGGTACTGGCTACTACTCTGGAGTACACCCTCCTCATTGTCGGTCGAACTTGATGGAAGGCGCGGGGCGGAGTCTGGCGTTCTGGCGTTCTGGCGTTCTGGCGTTCTTTCCCCCCCTTCCATGCGGTGGTCACCGAGCTGAACGCCCGAGTAACGTAACGAGAACGTCAACCGGACACCATTAGTCGCCACTCGGGAACGAAACGAAGAAACAGGAAAACTATCCTCCGTACGGCACGGTTAGTCGGCGCGATGAACAGGATACCCAAGTACCTGCCTAGCGTTCCCTGGACTCCCGTCTCGTCCCCCCACTCCCCTCGCCTCAGGAAAGCTGACATATCGCCCTTGTCCGGCGGCCGGTCGGTTCGTGCCGCGGATCGCAATTAGGACTGCCCTCCCGCGGGAAGTGGTGCGTAGGCCCATCCTCCGTCCCAGTTCGCCGCCGCCGACGCCGTGCGACTGTGGAAGCGACCGACTCCCGCTTGACTGAACAACGAAGCCCCGAACGGACAGACGATCAGACCTGATCTCCGCGCGAGTTCTTTGTGCGGCTACTTTCCACCAGCCCGAGCGGACTGATGATCAGACCTGATCTCCGCGTGAGCTCTCCGAGCGGCGACTCGACTGCCCACCAGCCCAAGCGGACTGACGATCAGACCTGATCTCAGTGTGAGTTCTTTGAGCGGCGACTGTCACTCCCCACCCTCCAGCAGCGCTTTCCCGAAGTATCGTCTCGAGTCTCGACTGGCTGAAGGCTGGGTCGCCAAATAGTCTGCAGCGAAAACACAAGCGTACATATGCAATGCATGCATCCTGCCAGCCACGCCTGCGATTGGGATAAGTCGACGAGATCAGATCGTATGTATGTATGATTGTATGCAGTCATTTTCTCTCACGTACACTAAATGCCTATGTGTGTGTGTACCACGAGTGCGCCTGGCCGGAACTGGACGAGAGGAAAGAAAAGAAGGAAATTTAAGAAAGACAGAAAGAAATAATGTGGAGAAAATCGAAAAGAGAGCAAAGGGGTGCGGTCCGAACTCCACGTCTGGCGATTGTCGCGGATCATCATTGCCCGTTGGCTAGGAGCCATCGGCATAGCGTAACCAGGTTCGCGCAGCACCACCACCGCAACCACCACCACCAGCATCACCACCAAGCAGCACCACCACCACCGCAGCTTGCAATCCGCAACCAACAATCCACAACTCACAACTCACAACAACCTACAGCTCACAATAATCCACAGCTCACAATAATCCACAGCTCACAACCCACAACAACTCACAACACTACACAATCCAACCTGACGACGACGACGTGTCACCGCGTCTGTGCCGGAGCATCACACCTGAGGCGCAAGTAGAGTGGGTACATGTAGCCCACCTACCTACTTGCATGTGCCTTGCGCTGCCTCGAAGTTTAGGTCGCTGGTGCTGGTGCTGTTGTTGTTGCTGGTATTATTATTATTATTATTATTATTATTATTATTATTATCATGATTATCGCTCTATTTTCTGTTTGCCGCAAGCGTTATATCCCGTGCACGCAGCGCCCATCGCTAATTTGTTGGTTTTCTTGATCGCCTGCCAACCGACCTCTTGCAGCCGGCGCTGTTGCAGCGACCAACCAGTGCGGTCGTACGAGTCGACGGTGCCGCTTTCCCCCAGGCATGCGATCCGAAAATGCCACGTAAAGGCGAGAGCTTCCGTGTGTGTTCGCGCCGATAAAAATGAAATAAAAAAACGTTTGTTCGCTTCGCTGTT